AAAATCATCAAAATTAAAACTGCTACAAATAAAAATTATTATTTAACTTGCAATTATTTTTGTAATTATTTATTTTTATGCAGTTATAACAATTAAATTATTTACAGTTACCGTATCGAGCAGGCAATACAGATTTATACAGTTCGAGGTATCATTCAGCTGAACGAAATATGATTTATAAGAGAATAGTTTGTGCTGTAGATATTCATCGCAAAGCTATAATGTTGGTATTTATGTTATAAACATATATATACAGGGTGTCCCAAAGTTCGCGGCCTAACCGTCGTGTACAGATAGAGCGGGTCAAACTGAATAAGTAAGTCCTTTACCACTTTGCGAAATTTTCAATAATTAATTAGAAAATAATTAATAAAGATCCGCCAATCCGCGCAAGTATTCCCCGAGCGCCGAGCGCGCGGCGAGTAGTCACGCGCCGCTCGTGTGTAGTGTGCATAGCTATCCAAGAGAGCGTCCCTTCCACCGCTCTGCCGCGCTTTGTATTATGCTATGCTGGGTGGGTCCTACTCGCCGCGCGCTCGGCGCTCGGGGAATACTTGCGCGGATTGGCGGATCTTTATTAATTTTCTAATTAATTATTGAAAATTTCGCAAAGTGGTAAAGGACTTACTTATTCAGTTTGACCCGCTCTATCTGTACACGACGGTTGGGCCGCGAATTTTGGGACACCCTGTATATCTTACCTGAGCAAGTAAGACCTGTCGAGTTAATGCAGCAGAATGTAACAATGCCATGGTTTATTATCCCACACAATTCTTTGCTGATTAATTTTGCATACGAGCGTTTCTCGATTTGCGGCGCACGACTATTGGTGAAAATTACGACGAATGTTGTGTCAGCAAACAACGATGATTCATGTTTAGGATCTCATGTATGGATAGTCGTATTCCTGAAGGGGCACAAAGGTCTCCTTAATAGCTTGCGGAGACGCCCAGCGAAAAGCATATTGAGGTCCTCCAGCTTTGTCGTTTGTACCGGACATTCGGCTACCACCAAACGGCTGTTGACCGACCACCGACCCGGTAGATTTGTCGTTTATATAAAAATTACCGGCGGTGTACTTCAAGTCCTCGAGCGCCTTCCTCGCCCATTTCCTGTAATAATGTATGAAGTCTCAATAGTAATAAATTGTTGTTCGACAATATTAACTTTGGCCGTTTATCGATGTTGTTTGAGTAAAAAATGCCATCTCGAAAGATATCTGTGGTAGTTACACAGCACTAAAAATTTCATTAACGTATGACGCAACAGAATAATAAGATGTTTTAACGTGCAATTTCAAGTAGGATCGATATAATCGTGACATTTTTCTATCGTTGTGTGAAATGTGTCATATACCGCAGTTGTAACCAGCTTTCACTTACTCATCTTGCGCGAATATTGCGCCTGTTAAAGCGTACGGTGTAGACGTGTCTACCAGCTTTACCGTCTCGTCCAGATCGGAATCTTTATAAACATATATCGTCAGTACCGGGCCAAATATCTCCTCCGTCATGAGTTTCTCCTTCGGATCTTTGGTCTGCACTATCGTTGGTTCGATAAAGTATCCGCACCTGAAAGGAAACTCGTGTTTTACAAAGACAGCTCGCTGACGGAAAACTGTCGCGCTAATAGTTGCGACGAAACGTACGAATCATCGTAGCCTCCGCCGCCGATAATTTCCATCTTAGGTGACTTTTTCGCATACTCGATGTAACCGGAAATGCGTTTAAACGCGACTGCATCTATAACGGCGCCGGTGTATACAGTGAAATCTCGAACGTCGCCGATCGTAAGCTTTTGGCGGAGAGCTAAAAGACCGTCTTTCACCTGAAACGAAAGAACACACACGAGTGTACACTTGAAAAATTAACTAGAGTGTGGGGTTTTCGTGAAAAACTCACCTTGGCCCACAGAGACTCCGGCACGTACATTCTACTGCAAGCGGAGCACTTTTGCCCGTTGAACTCGAACGCGCTCTTTATCGTCGCGTTAACGACCGATTCCACATCGGCGCTCGAGTGGACCAAGTGATAATTCTTGCCGCCGCATTCGCCGACCAATTTCGGATAGTTCCTGTATTTGGCGAGGTTCTGGCCGACCTGCGCCCATAGACGGTTGAACGTCGGCACTGAGCCAGTGAAGTTGATCCCAGCGAGATAGGGCGACGTTGTGATGGTGTCGCCGAACACGGGTCCTTCGCAGGGAACGAAATTCACTATGCCGGGCGGCACCCCGGCCTCCCTGCATATCTTGAAGATCCACCAGTTGGACAATAACGCGGTGTCGGACGGTTTCCAAAGCACAGCGTTGCCCTACAATCGCGGTAGTTGACGTAACACGTATGTGTTATTTTCATTACGATGCGAAGTTTGATTAAAATTCTGTCAGCGTGGCCTGCGTTACGAACCATCAGAGCCGGCGTGTAGCTGAGATTGCCGCCGATGGCGGTAAAGTTAAAGGGCGACACCGCCGCGACGAAGCCATCCATGCCGCGATATCTAATCGAGTTGCGAGTCTGCTGATCCGGCGAGATCGGCTGGTACTTGAGGCCTTCCTTCACAAAGTACGCATGCATCTTGAAGAAGTCGATCAACTCCGCCGCGCTGTCGATTTCCGCCTGGATCACGGTCTTGCTTTGACCGAGCATGGTGGCGGCGTTCAGCTGCTGTCTGTACTTAGTTGCCATAAGATCCGCTATCCTCAGCCACATCTCCAGCCGCTTCTCGATTGGCTGTTTCTCCCATTCCCGTTGCGCCTTCACCGCGACGTTGATCGCTTTCTTCACCAGATCCGGCGTCGCCCAGTAATACTTGGCGATCTTCTCCTTGTGATTGTGCGGCTGAAAAATTCACGGATATCCCGCGGGCCAAATTAAAACGCGTTTTTAGAAACAGATGTAGGAAAGTGGTAATAATATCGAGATTGAATCGCGAGACGGGACGTACCATAACTTGATATTTACACAGGTTGCTTTTGATTTCCTCGTTGCCGATAACTAATGGCACCTCTTCACACTCACTGGCCATCTTATCCAAGACCTTCTCCAATTCCTTCCTCTCCGGGCTGCCCTTCTTGTAACTGAGAATAGGTTCATTCTCCAGTGGGAATTCTGTTGGATTCGGTATCGGTACTATCGACCCTAGGAACCTGGTGCCGACTCTGCCGAAATGATAAGCAACGTTAGTGGGGGGAGAAAAAAATGCTCTTTAATTCGTCGCGATGTGGAACAGAAAATAAACAGAGAATAAACGGAGATTTGTATCTCGTCTTCGATACAATCTTCAAATATTTGTCCGGCCACTTGTGGCAAATCCTCGAGTCAACAATCTTATCATTGCCGTCTCAAATGTATGTACACTTGAGTTTGAAAACGAGTTGTTCCTTGTTTACTTATCGCGTCATACTTGAGAAAATGTTATTTGTTTAATTGCCGTCGGCATATAGCCTGTCAGAAATATCGGAATCGCATCGGATGATGCGAGAGAAGGAGTTTTGTGTCATAATATCGAGATATCATGTCCCATAGTGAGAAAAATTATCATATTTGCATCGTTAAGTACTATTGAGTTAATATTCGATGAAAGATCATTGACACGAAGATATGCGGAAAAGAAACATCGCAAGTATAATATTATAATCTTCTCAACTTGACCCTAATTAGCACGGTTATCGATATTTAACGATAATAGATAATTATGACAAATTCTACTGCATATAAATTAGATCGCCGAAAAAAAATACTACTCTCACGATAATAATATATCATTGCACTAAATAGTCTGAAAATATCTTTTTCAATTGTCAATCTCTTGGAATAATTACTTTGATACACAAAGTCACATTATGCAAATAACTCCGCTCTGTAATTTTGCACGTTTCTTTTCAAACCGTGCGTAAATAGAGGGATTCATTTATGTGTACAAAAATATTTATGTGTATTTATAGTAGATTGTGATCGGCGTTAATTAACAACGATGCCAACTGTCAGAGTGATGTTCTTTCGTCTGACAAATGACGTTTTGCTCAGCGGAATATATAATTTATATTATTTCTGGAAAAATAAAGATAAAAAAAATAACAAATTTCTATTCGATAGAAATGACAATTAGGAGCGAGAAGTCCAAGCGAACCACGTCAATGTTAGTGTTAACCACGATTAACAATTGATATTGACCGATTTAAAATTTTTTTTCTTATTCATATTATAACCGGTGGACTGTAGAAAATGATAGTTTGCTTTAATAAAATGCGTGTTGATGCGAATGATCTTATAAACAGTCAACTGCATCGCCGTTGATTAACTCTAACCACATGACGCATATCACCACCTTGCAGCGATGTATCGCTCAAGTGCGATCGATGGAAAATTCTTTTTTTATTTCTATTCACAAAAATATTTGTAAACCGAAGCAAACATCGCGAAATCACCGAGCACAGTTGGTGAATCAAAGGTGACTGAAATCGTGCAACCTGCAAAAGCGCACGATTGCGGTGCCATATGATCGATATCGTCATCGTTGATAATTCTTAAAAACTAAAGTTAAAGAATAGATTACGTAGCATCGTGCGACGAAAACTGCTGGATTTATTACTCACTTTTGGGCATTTGCCAGCACCGTGTGACGGCAAACCAAGCCCAACATCTTTCAGTGGAAACGTGTTGGGACGGGATACAAAAAGAGAGAAAGAGAGAGAGAAATGACGTCGGCGCGCGCCCTTCGTCACACACGATCTAAAAAGCAGACGCAAGCCCTTTGCAACTGACACGTCCCACCAGACGATGACACGATCGTATCCTATTGTGCCCAAATCTCTCGCGTTCTCGCGTTCTCGGCCCACTGTATTCAGTGTGCCAAATGGCCGAAACTGCGACGAAATTTGATGAAACCACGAAATGCACGACCCGATGCCACCGCACCATCGGGCGAAATGCCTTACGGAGAAGCGCGTTTAGAACGTTCCCCACCTTCGCAAAAGCGCCCAGGGACGTATAACATAACCGGCATCTATATGAACCTATTAGACTACAAATGGTTCGTCAGCGATATCAATATCGACAAAATTTTTGCAATGTCAAATTTGTCAAAAATGTCAACCGAAAACGCACCGATCGCATCGTGTTTTTGTCGTGCTTCGTGAATAAACACAGATTTCAATTATCTCAACATATCGCAAACTTGCCAAAATTTAAAATTATGCATTGACACTCTTTATTTTTATATTAGTAAATTATTAATATAATTATCTACTATACCTGTGCCAATCTCTGTGTACTTATCGCCGATATTTTGCCATTAGAAATTGTGACACTTTCAAAATATAATTTTGACGAATAAGACCAAATATTAACACCTGCCTAATTAGCCACCAATTTTATTATCCTTTCGTTTTCTCTCCTTTTTGCCGACCATTGCGATTTAAGCATCTCGATCTAGCATAAACTATTGCAATTACAATATAGAAATACATTTTTTTTAGCAGTTTTATATCTTCTAAAAATTTTTTTTTTTTTTTTAAGTTTTTTTTACTTTATTAAACTCATTTTTCTACATGTTGAATATTTTTTTCTAGCTTAAAAAAAAGGAAATAATCTGAAAGATAGAATGTATCAGACAACCACACTTCACAATATCCATTACAATCTAAATCAGTTCTCTCACAACTAGATTGAGTCTAATCAATATCAATGGGGCAGATAACATATTGAATTTTTCTCTCATAGCATGCTTGTTATGTCGCGAAATACACAAATTAATAAGTTTATTTTTAAATAAATTAAAATCTTAAAATTTTTTATAGTTATAACTTAATTTTAATGACTAAAAATTTGATTTAGCAGAACAATTAGAAGCTCTTTTCTCGATACAATAAATGTTTTTTTGCGAGGCATTTTTGTCATTTCCTTACCTCAAATTAAATAGTTAATAATATCCATATTAACTAAAACAAATTTTCTCCGGATTAATCTTGGCTATAGTGTAGTTAGTTAAAAAAGTACGCTTCATAGGAAAGTTAATTTACATATTAACGCGAGCCAATAGAGCCGACAAAGAAACTTGCAAATCTGATGCTATTGTACTCCAGTAACTCGTCTCATATATCCTGTTTTCACGCATCGTTGTTTCCTAATCGCAAAGAATAACGAGCAGACAAATGCTGAAGAATAGAAAAAGAAAGAGGAAGATGTCATACATCTTTAGAAAAGCTCACCTGCGCGATGAAAGGCCGGAATACGTTATGTAAAATGTCCTATTTTTACACACAAACGTCATCGTTATATATATGTATGATAGATATATATATTTTAGACTTGTGATCTTTTCCAAAACTGAACATTGTCAATATATGATTTGTACATACTTCAAAGATGCTACTAAATTCGGTTGTTAATACATTGTCATTTCCTGAAATAATACGTATGTTCGAATAACAAAGAATTTCTTTGTTTTCAATAAAAATAAAAAATCATCAAAGTGAAGAGAACCAAAAAAATTTTAAAAAACGATTAGTTCTCCTCCTGTTGCATTTGAAGCTCGCGTAAGAGTTGCGCCCTTTGCTTTTCCAACTCATCTTCGGAAAGCTCATGGTGTTCATTATTTTCTGTAACAGAACCCTCACTGTGAACCGAAGCCCTTCTATGTTTCTCCTCTTTCCGTTTTCCTTCCGGCGATTCCTCGGAAGATGGTAATCTTGAATGCGAGCGCTGGAAAAAATATTGGGAAAAATGTGATAAAATATGAAAACTATCTCTGATCAACTACACCAACAGAATATAGTTATATAGAATATTTAGCACATACAGAATGACTACGGCCTCTCTTTTTCTTATTCTTTTTCCTCTTGGATTTTCTTGTTTCTGACTCGGAACTGTCAGATTTACTGGGGCTGGGAATACTGGGTGAATGTGACTTATGCTGTTTTCTCTTCAAGCCTTTCTCGCTGCCGTCTGATTCCTGTCGAAAAACAAATCAACTTTACAATTTTTGCGATGTATTAAAAATCATGAGAATAGAAAGCGGTTGCATTTGATAATACTTACACTGTGTGAACGCGACCGTGATTTACGTTTCAATTTTTTTGCCTTCTTCTTTTTACTTCTAATGTGATGATGACTACAGCTCTCTTCAAGCTCGTGCTGATATTCTTTAAATATTCGCATTCTTTCACTCTCCAAAGTAATTGCCTTGAAGTCTTGTTCCTCCTCGATTTTCGGCCTCACATCCTCCCATGTCATTTGATAATCTACATTCAGTGTCTTGAGCAAATTCTTGAAACCAGTCTCCAACTTCTTGAATTTTCTTGTCTCTTCCTTGACACGTTCTTTCTCGCGCGCTTCCGCCTTTTCTAGCAACAAATTATATGTCAATTTAACATTACCTGCATCCAGAGTAGCTGATTTTCGATCCTCGCATACGACCGTGGCAAATTCCTCGAAAGTCGTGTTAACTTGCACTTCAAAGTTCTTGTCTTTGAGTATTTCACGGATAATCTTTTTTTCGTCGTGGAATCGGGACTTCAAATCTTCGACGTAGAATTTGAAAAGATCTAAAGGAGTTGAGCCCGATTGACCAAGCATAGCCGAAAACCGAAGATCGGCGGACAGCATAGGATACAGTTCTACCCAAAGTGACATTGATGTGAGCTTCCCTTGTTCGTGAAGCTCATCGAGTAGATACTGAAATGTGTAACAATTGTAATAAGCATAAAATATAAGCGCTAAAATATGTTATAACAATAAATAAAATAAAATTGAAAATAGTCTGCTACACTCACTATAAAGCCATCCCGATTCTTCCTTTCTTGCCGTTTCCTACGTTTCTTTTCGCACTCCTTTTCTTCCTCTTCGTCCTTCTCCAACTGCCGAATATGATTCTCAAACACAATCAAGGCGTCCTCCTTGTCCATTTCTAATAAATCCGCATCTTCCGCGAACGCGGGATGCTGTAACAATAATGCTTGCGCCTCCTGCCACGTGGTTCTGTACGTCACCTCGGTCATTGTATCGAGAACTTGCGCCAGTCTCTTGGTATTCCTCTTCTTCAACTGCTTTGCCTCCTCTTTCTCGCGTTTCGCCAGATTAAAGATAACATCCTCATAGATGTCTCGGCGATCCGAATCACCAACCGATCTCCAAACTTCCAGATTACCGAACAGCTCTTCGCACTTGTAATACTTGGTCGTGCTCAACATTCTATCGTTTATCAACAAGAATTGTTCTAAATCTTCCTTGGCCTTTTTCAACCTGTTTAAAAAAAATATGCTGCGTTATTGTACTTGCAAGATTCGATGTATAATTAAACAGCCAAAGAAATAAACACAATATTTACCTAAGTCTCTCTTGCTCGCGCTCTTCCTTCAGCTTTTGTGTTTTGTATGAATTGAAAGCCTGTTTACGTTCATTCAATTTCTTCATCTGCGGATATCTAGCATCAGTCTGAATCAATTTAACTGCTTGTTCCCATGTAACATTCGATGGCACGTCTCTTTCCCTTAGCAGTTCCTTAAATGCCTCGACTGCTTCTTTCTTATCCTTAAATTGCATTTTTGGCTCAGGCGTGCTGGTGCGACTATCGTTAGCTGAGCCCATCGCAGAATTACTGTCTTCATCCGGCTTGGTGGGCGGTGTCGGGATATTAATCGCCGCAAGTGTAGCAGCCATCGCCTGCTCGATCGCGGACTTACCACCTGATTCTGGTGTACTGGTCTGCGATATGGTCGACACATTCGGTGATAAGTGTTGTATAGCTACAGGAACCATATTGCTGAAAACATAAAAAAAAAAACTGGCGATAAACGTAGCCTGAAACTTCACATTATTTTTTTTACTAAAAGAAAATATGTCTATACTTATATAACTATATTTAATGTTACTTACGTATTTGTGGTATTTGCTACAACTGCAGCAGCTGCAGCTGCAGCTTCTTCAGCTATGATTCGTGTTTTCAATTCTTCCAATTCTGGCGGTATTGTCCATCTAGACTCCTTGGTGGTTACATTGTGAAAATATACTTTGCCATTCTCTGCTTTGTATTCTTTCCACGGACACTGTGACAACAATAGTTCACTTGGGGTTTTTAATTCGTCAGGCTTTTCCCATAATGATTGCTTTGTGATATTGTTATAATAATATGTTCTGCCATCCGGTGCTTTGTGTTCACTCCAATCAGTCTTCTTCTCTGTTGTGGAAATTGACATTGATGAAGCAGTGTCACTGCCGATAGGCGAAGGAGGGGGAATTCCCGGTGCTGTTATCTGCGGCGATGCAGCTGTAATGTAAAACCAATTATTTAAATAAAAAATATATCATTAATATTATAGATCAGCGTAAATATTTAGCGGCATATATTAACCTATAACTCCAGCCTCTGGAGGAGGTGCTGCGGTGATAGGAAAAGTAAAACCTGGCGGAGGTATGGAAAACTGAGGCGGCATTATACCTGGAGGACCTGGTGGTAAACTAGGTGGAGGAATAAAGGGTGCTGTAGGCATAATAGGTGGTACAAAGCTAGATGCGATATTTGGTGTTGCCGATGGAAATCCTGTTACGGCGGTGGGTGCTGGAATACCATCATTTGAAGCCTAATTTTGGGAATGTATGTGTCAGTTGGATAATTAGCAATTTTGTAAAGCGCAATATAACGCGTTAGATTATATTTCTCGTGTTATATTCGATTTTATAGCTATGCTTTCGGTCCATTTTTTATTTATCTCAAATTTATAAAAATGAAAAACGAAGGAACTATAAACATGCTTTTTAGCGATAATCATTAACATTTATAATTATTGTTATTCATTATTGCCACGTTATTAGATCAATAGACCATTCAAAGCGGAAAAATTTATTTTGAAATTTAATTTTCTATCTCAGAGAGGTTAGGTTAGGTTACTAGATACGACGCTTATAGATTGTAACACTCGATCTACATGCCATTTGTATTGAGAGCCCGCCAAGTAGAATGTTACAAAGCAGACTTTGCGATTGTTCACACGATCAGAACATCTACAATAAATCTGCTGCTTATAAACACTATTCACAACTCATAACCTGAATCTCTGAATATCAGTGTGATCCGCTAAGATCCACTGCAAAAAAACCACACAAAACTCATGCCACTCTCCACTCCCTCTCCACTACTCATCACATTGAACTACACGAACTATATATCTCGACGTGTAACTGTAAACGCAAACTTTAGTGATGCCAAAATGGAGAATCGGCCCTTCCTTAACCCTTCCTAAACTGGAAATCGATTGAGATGTAATAAGTATTGTTTCATTTCATTGAAGCTGGGAACCCGACTTTTAATATTTAATTAACAAATTATTAACAATTTGCATTTCGAATTTTAGAACAAAAAACCTTCCAAAAACTTAAAAAAAAGACGTATGAATTATTTAAGAATTTTACGAGCATCCTAACACTGTCAAAAATAGTCTAGAAGCGTAAGTAAGCACATAGAGAGGTTAAGGTTTGCTCGTAAGGACGGCCCGAAACGCTCCATCTTAGCCGGGATTTTAAAGATTTGTTAATAGGAATACATGATGATAAAGGAGCTCGCTCAAGAATCAACTAGACGGAGGTGTGTCTTGGCGCCGCTAGAGCTCGGCAGAGGGGAGCGTTAGGAAGTGGAAAGCCGTCTTTGGATTGGTTGTTGCATTTGCATGGCTGCCAGAGTTTCCATGGCAACAGCCAATCAAAAGAAGGCTCTCAGTCAAAGATAGCCACTCCTCCATACCGCCATTCAAAGAGCAACAGCCAATCCGAAGAGGGCTTCCTACTGCTATGTTCCCCTCTGCCGAGCTATAGGGACGCCAAGCCACACCTCCGTGCAGCTGATACTCGAGCGAACTCTTATAACATCATGTGTTCCTATTAACAATTTTTAAAATCCCGGCTAAAATGGAGCGTTTCGGGCCGTTCCAACGGGTAACCTTTATCTCTCTACATGCTGATTCTCATTTCTAGACTACTTTCGATAGTGTTATAATGTTCGTAAAATTCTTAAATAATTTATACGTCTTTTTTAAGATTTGTAGAAAGTTTTTTTGTTGTAAAATTAAAAATGCAACAATTATTAATAATTTGTTAATTAAATATTAAAAGTTGAATTCCCGGTTTCGATAAGATAATTATGCGACACTTAATCATATTACAATCGGTGACGGTATCAGAATACTTGCAAAATATTTCCATCGTCTTGTTTTATCTTTTTAAAATTTATTAATGTTAATTATTTTCATCTTCTGATATGCGTAAATCAAAGAAACATGCAACGTCGCCTTCGTTGCCGCTTCGATAGGAACGAGACAGAAAAAACATCATGGGTACTCTTTTCTACTATTCGAGCTAGTTGAAACACGAAGCCGTATGCGGTTCTTTATTGTGTGTGTTATTCCCTCCACTACAGTTACTCGGTATACCACGTCTCCATTGTGGCATCTCTGGTTTTGTACCATCTGGTTCTACCGTGTTTTAACGCGATCAATTTCGGCGTCTAATCTCGCATCCGGCCGGTATTTTCTGTTTTATACAATTTTGTATACTTTTATGATTAAAAAGTGTACTTAATGACAAGTATGGCGGACAAATGTGCAAGTGTCAACGACGTGGACTGTCCACCGACAAAAAAAACTAAATTAGACAACGAGAATACCATTGAAAATTCAGATGAGAAAAACACAGTTGAGAATGCCGATGAGAAACAACCGAATGGCGAGACAGAGCTAAATTTGTCAAATTTTGAAGTGACACGAGTGCTACAAAATAATTGTGCACGAAAAATGATATGCGTAGAGGGAAAATTCGAGGACCGCGAGGATCCGGCTGTTGTTTTACTGGAACAGAAGAGCTTTTCTTATGACAAATCGACCTTGAAAAAGGGGTATTTCAATGAGAATACAGTTTTTCGGAAGTATCTCGCCAACGATATCTACAAGAATTATGATTGCTTTCCAACAGAGGAGTATAATAGTACATCGATATTTCTGTTAATCTTTCATATATTAGTGTATTAGTCATCTGTTTACAAACAAATATCTCTTACAGGTTTACATGCGACTGTGATATATCCTGCCACACAAAGTCATATCGATAAATACAAAAAACAAGAGTTATATATAATAGATGAGACATATGAACTTTATGAGCAAGTTACTCTTCCTCATATAGAGTCAAAGAGCTTCAGTTTGGAGGTATAGTTTGTATATGATATAAGAGGGAAAGTAAAATAAAGTCTATAAAATTATTGTTGAAAAATAAATATTATAAAAATAATATAGTACAGCAGCTTATTTTATATAATTATAGTATTTTTCAACATATTTCTTACAGTAGTTTCTCAACTTTTTCATTGAAACATTTATTGAAAGAAGTTGTGCATTATAGTTTTAAGCATATCGTTATTAGGAAATCATCTTATATTACATTTATATAATCTAAATTTCTTTTTAATGCTATCAGATTACTATATATTCAAAGTTTAAAAAAGATCCAACTCAATGTGTAGAAGATTGTATTAAAGATCTGAATTAGTGGAAAATGTACTAAATATTTTTTAATGTTGATAAACATAAAACTGGTGCATAATTGAATAATTTTTCAACCAAAAGATTTTTGGTAAGGAATCAAAAAATTGTTAAACTACTGGAAGACGTGCACTGAAAAGTAACAATTATATTTAAAAAATAATGAGTTATATTCAGAAAATATTGGTTGAATATTTATAATAAATACTCATTTTTGAATAACAATTTTAAGGAAATTTTTTTTTTTTTATGAATAAGATTGAATATCTGAATATTATTCAAGAAATAAAAATCTTATTTTTCACACTCTGTTTCCTTTTCAGTGGGTAACTAATATTTTGGAACACAAAGCTGAACAAGAAACTATTATTTATGAGGATTGTGACAATGATACCGGTTTTGTATTAGTAACAGATCTCAAATGGGATGGACAACGAGATACATTAAAATTATTGGCTTTGCCATTTCAAAAGATAAAATCATTGAGAGAATTAGATGCCTCTCATCTTCCTTTACTAAAAAATATACGAGATGCTGGGATCAAAGCGATCAGCGAAAAATTCAATGTACCTGCGTCACAGCTTAGAATATACTTGCATTATCAACCATCCTATTATTATCTACATGTACATTTTTGCAATCTTATGTTTGAAGCACCAGGTATATAAATTGACTTGTTAAAACTTAAAATAATCAATTATGATGAAGAATATGTATATGTATGCGATACATACAGGCATACATAAGAATAAGTGACAAAGTATTTTTACTACAAAATTTTATTTTTTTTATTTAGGAATATATGCCGAGAAGGCACATCTTCTATCAACAGTTATAAGAAACTTGGAATTGATGTCGGACTATTATAAAAAAGCAGTTCTCACATACGTTGTATTTAAAGATAGCCCGCTGTATGAAAAATTTAAATCGCATGGCGCTCTGCAGACAATGTGTGAATCACATTAGGTTGTAAATAATATAAATAAACAGTTTTACCAATTATATGTATGTAATTGTATGTAATATGAAAAGGCATTGATATGTATTTTTTATTTAAAAATAAGACAAATTCACATTACATAAGAGTGTTGCTAGTTAAAAATATCTTTAATAGAAATCTTTTATATATTAAATGTTCAAATCAAAGAAAAGTATTGAAAACACAAAACAGTATTTTTTACTAACAGATTACTAACAAACTTACAAATTTGAGAAACATAGAAGACTATATATATATATATATAAATATGCAATTTTTATAAAAAATTCCATTTTTATAGAATTAGAATTATATTAAATGTATTTATTTTATACAAATGAGCAACATGTTTATTTTTAAGTTATAAATTCACGCAAAGTAAATCTACATAAAAGGTGGAACACATTATATTAAGAATATTATGTAACAGTTTTAGAAGGATAAAAATAATAAATATTTTATTTTAAATTTCTTATGTCATTTCTAATCCTTTTATTAATTTGTAGGATGCGTTGACATATTTAATAGAGTAAAATATTTTAGAAATATGAGAAATGAAGCTTATACATGTGGTATGATACGTACATATACTTGTATTTGTGTAAATGTAGTTTTCTTGTATTATTAAAAATTCTGTCGTACTCCGTGTTATGTAGATAACCAGCATCCATTTTTACATATCTAAGAATAAAATTACACAAGACTAATGCATAAATGCGATTATATTAACACAAAGTGTATTGAATTCAAGTTTCATATTGCTGTGTTTTGTACAATGTCAACTAACATGGTACTTACATTCTTGTATTGTAATAATTACATTGAATGCATCTTGTTTTATACACAAATTTTCAATTAATACTTTTATAAACAGATTATCTATAATTATTTACTTTTATTAAATAAAATAAGATTTTTTCAAAGTCAGGAAAATGTTGGATTATGTCACAATCGAGACAAAGGATTTTCGTAAATCCTATAGAAATTCCCTTTCTTGTTTATAATCATCATATAAATTATATTAAATTTTGCATCTTAATGTTTCCGTAGAGGTGATATAAATTGTACGCAATGTCGATTTTCACGATTGTTTATTTTAATAAATATTACTATAGAGCATATATATATAGCGGTACATAGTAGACAAAAGTCATTCATTTTATTAATATCATTAATAATCTTTCTAATTTCTTATTATGTTTTGGAAATTTGCGATTTTTTTTCGTACGATTGAACTACACAGCAAGAGTTAGACACCATTCGTAAAATATTGCACCTTATAATAACACAGTTCTTGTTAATTTCTATTGATCACATCTATGCGATCTGCAATATTTTTCGACCTTACATCATCAATCTTTCCTTGTATCAATTCAAAAATTGTATTATTGCTGCTTGCCTCCTTCATCCTTTTTATAATTCAAACTATTTCAGTTAGGAAACATATTGATCACATTGAATGCAAAGCGTAAATTATAAATAATGCAAACGAGAGACTTTTAAATGCATAAGTATACATGCGACTAAACCTAAAAGAAATTGGATATATATATATATTCAAAAATAATTTCTAAACGTTCCATTTTCCCAGCAAGCTTTCATTTATTTTATTATCGTTTATTAATTTTATTTATACAGAATTCTCTTGTTCCAGGATTTTTCACTTTAATAATTAAGCGTTTCACAATTATACTATTTCATATAGATATCAAATATTATTGTATCAACCATGGTTTCTTCAGGATTTGTCACTTGTATATAAGCCTCTTTTGCATCTGGACCCATTGAATAATAGTAACACATGAAAATATTACTGTACAAAAATTTCTTTGATTATTTACGAAAAATGGGAGGAAAATTAATTGTTTCTTCCATTAAACTTGATGAAATTATTGCAAGAAGGGGAATTTCAATTCTTTATCCTCTTTCAATTTCTTCATTTATCTTTTTCTTTTTTCAATTTCTTATTCAAAAGTATAAGAAATTCTGTGCTGTTGAAAGGATGAAAGGAGAATTCATAAATCCTATATTTTGATATGAAAACAAAAATCAAGTATATTCTATGCGATCGATTGATAGACAGAAAATATGCAAAAGAAGAACCATTATAAATGTAAGATTATTGTAACACCGGTCAGACGTGCCGTCGTACGACCAAGGTTTCGAAAAGCTCAGTTGAATTATGAACTAACGGTAGAAACGCATGTATGATAGTGACATATGTGCTAGTTGATATTCTTTACGATCAATCGTAAAATTTTTCAGCTAGATTTTTTTTTAAACATTGCCTTACATATGTGATATATATGGAGCAAATTGAAACGCATGTGGTTCTTCGATTAGGGATATTACAATCACACGTGATACATTTGTTCGGATGCGTTTTATCCATACAAAAAAACGCAGCTCTTTGTTTCAAAATTTCCTCAAACGTCAAATCGGTTTTCCAATCGATCGTTAATAAGGGCATTTGCGTGTACGGTCGCGTGATACATGATGAGATCAATAGCCGTGTGTTCTTGTTGCATCTAAAAATACTACATTTCGACGCTCAGCGATAACTTAATGCTAAATAATAAGAGAATAAGTGTATACGCAGTTATGTATTTGGAAGCGCATAAAAAGACGTTAATAACTAATATGTAAAAAGGCGCATCCGCGATTATTCGCTTTCTCTCTCTCACTGGAAAATAGCGATCAGACACGACGCCGGATTTCAATATAAGACAAAAAGTTGTTTTATTGTCCCCGCCGACTTAATAAATTAGCTATGTAATTAATTATCAGGGGAACTTACAAATTATTCAGGAAGCAAGTATTACAAAAGTATCTGTATTTGTACATATCTCTCCCATTTTTCTTTCTTTCAATCTCTCTCTCGCATACATTCGAAAAGAGCGCTGAATAAGATCTAAGATAAAAAAATTAAGTACTTTGTTACACGCGTCTTCCTCTTGTCCCGCGAAATGAAATAATGCATTTGCAAACTTATCTATCGATCGATCAATTATCTCATTAATTTATTATGGTATAAAAGAACGTTGTATAATAAACTAAAATCATACGCATGTACATGCGTATGTGTATACACGTAGCCGATGTTTCAGATGTTCCGATATAACGCGCGAGTATGTACGAGTATACACAAATAAATATGCAAAGCGAATATATGTATATTTACAAGTGATATATGCATGTGTGTTACATGTTGTGTATGTGTGTGCGTCGCGTGTATTTCTTTTTTTTGCGTGTGGCTGCGTATGTGTATGTATATCACAATAACTCAACGTGCACGCGAGATATTATTTCGTTTAACAATAATATTAATTGTTTATCAAGCCAGCCTTTTGGTGGAATTAAATCCGAGATAAGTAAATTAGCCAAAACAAAAAAAAGGGGGGGTGGAAACTACAGCGTATTCTGGTCAGGTACAAATATTTACAATGCATATTATTTTGATCAAATCAATGATCTTTCCTTGAGCTTTATTTTTTTGCTGACAAGCTCGTCATTTTTTGGTATTTAAACCTTGTTATGTTTATTAAAGCTGACCAATATATTCGATACGTAAATCAAAGTGATTCTGTTTAGCAAAAATGATTATGCCACGCAAGTGCCCTGACAGTCACATCGATGCATTACGAAAGACGGTATCAAAGCTTCATTTTTTTCCCTCCCAGCAAATATTTACATATCTTCGCTGCTCTTCTCACTACATTATCATGTGTATAAACAAGTGCAAGTAAACGTAAATCTAATCGAATTTTATCGACAATTTATTCGCAAGACCAAAAATGTAATATCTTTAACACTGGGATCACAACTCAAACAGAAATATATATATATACGGTTTTTTTCCTCCCCTCTCCCTCCAATAAATTAGCAGTAGTCAAAGCTATTTCGATGTGCTCTACGCGAATATAGTTACTGACGTATGCAAATGAAAAAAATAAAAAATAAAAAAATTTTTACGTAACTTCGTTAGAAATAACAAATTTTTGCAAAATGCTGCTTAAATTCAAATTTAATAATAATACACATTGTGCAGAAAGCCTTTACAACGTCGTCCTTTATGAGGATCATTGAGAAGGGGAGTGAGGAGGACAGGCATCGCGGACTCGTTCATATTTCATTATCCAATGAGTCCAGATACCTAAATCTGAGCGAGGTGAGAGGGTTCTGTGTCTTTTTTTTCCAAAAGGCGAAAACTGTGAACAAATATCGGATATCTAATAAATATTTGTGCTCGTAAAACTTCCTTCTTCGCTTGACTAGTTGGTCATGATCTACTAGTGTCCGTAAGTAAATTGTCATGACAGTGCTTCGTATGTACAATTATGGAAGAATGATCTCGTAATAGTTAACAAGTTACACAACGTTCACAACGTAATGAAGCAAGTACTGGCTTTCTTGCGGGTAGGATAAAAAACGCAAAAAAAGACCTCATCGATATCGATCAATTGTCCAATCGACTGCACTTTTTATCATTATTAATTAATCACTCGTAATGCCATCGCATTTATTTTCTTAACAACTCTTCAGTATACTCTGCGAGTTAATTAAAATTAAAATCAAACAACAACTTTAACCGATTTTTATGGCGCAAAGATACATGAATCTATAGAAATCGAAATTATAACGTATAGCACCCCCTTACATAGCATAAACTAATCAACCAACAGATTGATAAACGCACCAATTTGTGCAAGTATCTAAAACAATTTGTACTTAACGTAAGGCCATATACAAATCAATATATTATATTTTTCTAAATTGACAGATCTGATAAACATTATGTACCATGTGTCTTTAATGGTGCCATAATTTGTCAAAGTCATGTAACATTTTGTATACACACATATATTAAGAATAATTTTAAAAAAAGAAAAAAAAGAAAAAAAAAGCAAACTTCTAGTTTTTAACTTCAAAATTATATTAATGGACGTCACGAAGAGAAAAAAAGAGAAGGAAAGAATTTCGTCCACATTTACATCTAGTCATCATAATATAGTTTTATCTATTCAATTACTAAATCGTGAATTAAATACTCTTTTAATTTAAACAAAGTGATAATATGAAAATAATTTTGTTCTCTACTTTTGTACTCATAATAAAATTATATTACTTTGATAAACTCTTTTTCCTTTCAACGAAATATGGCATCACATAATCTCATACCAGTATGATAATTATATGCCAGAATTTTTAAATTACATCGCAAGTCAGCCATCACATCATTTTGTTATTGAATTTTAAATTCCATGAATCAATCATTTTCATCGTATCTCAAAATCTATACATTTTTACTTTCACGAAAAATGTAATGGCTACTTTGCACCGTTTGAAAGCCAATACGTAAAAGAGAATTATTAAACTAAAAGTACAAGAATTTAAAAGCATAGAAATTGTGCATGAGAGTATCATCGCACGGACACATAATTATCTAAAACAGATTTGGCGTCGTGACACTTTGATCCTCCTTAGATGATATTTTTTCCATGTGTTGTCAATGGCTATTTCTGCATGGATGATCGCATTACATAAAATAGCTCGACACGCCAATGATATTTAAATAGAATTTGTATGATGGACTAGCTTTAGTTATATGACTTCAATAAGAATGCGTCTTTGACAAGTCATCGTACGTTTAGGCATATGCTGTAGGGTGATCGTAATATGGATATTATTAACTTCTTCCTAATATCATAATTTTCCGCTAATAAAATGTTATTATTCTCTCTTAAATAAAGATCGATTTGAATTTCACAAACCAATGTACCAATAGATTATCATGAAACATCTTTATGCGTCAACGAAGCGTACGCATCATAATTTTGTTAACCGTTTAAGAAACGTTTTTATACTTTCTGACTTTTTACTCTTGTAAAATATAAAACATTTTACTTATACATATTTATATAAACTAACGACCAGCATATTAATTTTTACTTGTTGAATATTATCGATATTCGTGCAAGTGCGAACACACTTACTGCTCACCGACATACAGATCCTTATACATCCATAAGATCAACCTACAGCATAAATGTTACAAGTCAAGACTGGATTTCCTTGACATTCTAAAACCCAGTGTCGCGTCGTGTGATCGTAAATAATGTCAACGGTTTCATTGTTTCTGAGAGGACAAGACACGATACAAAACATGTTTCGAGAAGTTTCTCATGGAAGACTTTCAGATAATACCTTTCTTATTAGGAGACAGGATGTGTATTTAATAAAAATATTATCTTAAGAAACAAATGGATGCAAGAAAGAGATCCAGTAATGGATATTATATAAATTGATTATTTCGCGTATGCTTAGAAAAACTGAACGGTAATATTTCCACGGAGAAACTTTGAAACATCCTTTTGTAGTTGATGTAATTTACTATCGGGCTCTGATAAGAGAATTGCAGTTCTTAAGCTTCGGTCGACGCTACGAGGGAGCTTTTAGGCGTGTACGCTGTCGCATTCGGATCCAAATTCGACACAGTACACCCCGGACAGGGACTTTCATTCGAACGTATTTTTGTTCCTGCTACTCTCACTTCACTATTTAAACGAAGCTTGGACGTCGCACAGGTTGGCGTTGGACCAAATGTGTCTTGTGGCATCACAGCTAAATCTTGCGCTATTTTTGTTTTCAACATCTCAATTTCTTTCTCTTGAGATCTGATTAAGCCTAATTGAACAGAGAACAGTATGATACACACATTGCCGGTAATTTGTGGTGACACACATCCGCGTACGTATTTGCACGCATGTGTGTGTATGTGTGTGTTGTGTGTATATCACACACGTACACTTCATTTTCTTTATTAAATTAAAGCATAGTTTTCGATTATACGTTACGAACGTTAAAAATAAGAAAAATACACATAAAATATAAAAATATGTAAAACAAAGCATAATAAAGTTATCTTTACTTACTTTCTCGGATTTCTAATTGGCGCTTGACTTCGCCGAGTGCCGAAAAAAGATCAAGTTTTATGCGTGTTTCCGCGCTTAAGCTGTTTTCCAAGTGCGCGTTTTTGTCCTGCAGCGCATTGAGTGCAGCAAGTAGAATTTCAGATTCTCTGTGGTTTTCTTTGCAACGTACTGCGTCTTTTTCCAATGCATTACACCTGATCAATATATAAAATGTATAAGCTCATGTTGCAAATTGAATTACTCAAAATTAAATCAAATGTACACATTTACCGACAATTAAAGTGTATATATTTATTCTTACCTTTCCTCCTTCAATTTGAGTTCACGGCGCAGATTCTTGAGATCCTGTTCCATTTGGGATCTTCGATTTTTACACGCGTCAGTGCATTCTTGCCTAATAAGTGGAGGTGGTGGTGGTGGAATCGCAGAGCGTGCTTCCTCAGCAGCTCGTCGTGCCCTTCGCTCAGAAATTAAGGATGCTTCACATGCGGTACGCTGTTTTCTTTCTTCCGCAATTCGCTTTTCCAACGATGACATTGTCTGTTTGTCCAGCTGACGCGCCGTTACTAGTCCATGTAATCTATAATGTTAAAATTTGTGTTATAAAATCTTTTCAATTTTACTCGAAAGACAAAATAGAAATTATGTGCTGTATTTTCCATCATAATTAAGTTAATTTATAGCTAAAGCTAACTTATAACAGAGAGTTAATATTCAACTTGATGTATATGATATAAAACATGTGCCATATTATCTTATCTAAAAAGCTAGTTTAAAATTTTATTTTCTAACTTGATTGAAAAAGATCGGATACAAATTTTTCTAAAAAAATCAAATCTTTTCCACATCTTTTCAAACAATAATTTTGATTCAAATACTAAAATGCATAGAAATGCAATTATATATATATATATTAATATTTCAGTACATTTAAGACGTGAAAAGAAAAAATAAAGAAAATTTATTATATAAATGCTGTACATGCGAACTAAAATATGACAATTTGAATAAATTGTTCAAAAGAAAAATGTCAAATTAGTTTATGTAATTGAATTTATTTATATCTTTTATCTAAATATTAAGAAAACAGATTTTTTAAATATAACTTTACAATAAATACATAAATGTTCAATAAATAATTGAAAATAAAAAGTGGAAGAATTATCAACAGATCTATAATAATGATCAATTTATATATTATTCCAAAATTTAAATCTTAAAATTTTAACATGTAAAAATGTAAGAAACGTCCATGTTACAATGGACAGATTCTTTAAAAATATTGTATATATTTATAAATTCTAAAATTACTTACTTGCTTTGCAATTGATCGTTGTCATGTTGGAGTTGCTGAATATCACCCTTAGCCTGCCGCTCTCCGTTCAACAAGGTATTGATTTGTGATCGCAATTCTTGTTCCAACTGCCGACTTGACTGCAAGTCTGATTTCAAACGTTTTATGTCTGCCTCAAGCCTGCGACACACCAGTAACCTATTTCAACGACAAATTAGACTAGAGATTGATGAAAAGTCTACTAAAAGAATACAAAGATGATACAAAGATTCGATATCTAAATATAAAATACCAAATTTGTTAGAGTTTCGATCTGTGCCTTTGAAAACATTCAGATTATCAGCAGAATTTCTGCTCGTAATAATGTATTCACAGAAAAGATTTCTGTTGTACAATATACCTTTGATAATAATCATCTTGCTGTTTCTGTTGTTCTGTCATGGTGTCACCTGTATTTTTAACCTGTCGCGTCTTACGCTCACGTTGGGCACTGGTAGTCGACGATGAATCCCGAGTTTCTTTTACATTACTCCATTTTCCCGTTACTGAACCGTTTGATTGCGATTTTATCGTGGTGTGTCCACAACCCTTAATAGATTTGTCTTTTTCCGCTTCATTTACATCAAAATCATTTACAGACCTGTTTTAAAAGATTATAAATGTTTTTCTATGAAATTAACGAAAAATCGAATAGAAATATATTCTTTGACATACAATCGATCGTACCCTACTCTTTCGATGAGTTGTATGTCACTGTGCGATACTGTACTTCCATTAGTATGAATAAATCTTTTATCACTTTTGTCTGATGGTGAATTATTTGATACATTATGTTTATTATGCTGCTCTTCCTGCTTTTCACCCTTGTCTAAAGATTTTCTGTGAGTACTTTTAGTAGTAGCGCTCTGTGCTTGCGGTGTGACTTGACTACTATTGTGTACCCCACCATTTTGTACGTTTGTTTCTACAGAATTGTTATTGCCCCCTGAAAGAACAGATATACATGTTAGAGTGCGTTTAACATAAAATCATGATGAAACGTATTTATTCGAAATTTGAAGATTGATAATAAATACAAGCTACCTCTGCTTTTCTCGGGGCTTGGATTATACTGTGGACTCAATTTGTGTGTTTGAGTTTTAACGTGTTGTTCTAATGATGCAGTAACATGTTGTGTCTGTGACTGCACTTGTGGTTGGATTTGTTGCATCGACATAGCTTGTTGCTCTAGAGGCAGTGCTTGCTGCAATAACTGCAGGTAGAACTCGTTCTCCTTTGCTACGTCTTTCTGTTTTCTCTGCAAAGCACAAATGATAAATATTATGTATATCATGTCCTAATGTGTTATAAAGTCACACTTGTACTTGAAGAGTAAAGATACCAACCTGCCTCATTCTGTAGCCTACATAGCTCTTAAACCCAAAGCCCAATGTAACTACAGGATAGCCAATGCTGAAAATAGAGAATAGAATCCTGAGGTTGATCAATAGATTATTTTACTGGACATGTATGAAACATATATGAAAAATAATGCTTTAATCATAGATTCTTATAAAAAAAAAACAATACCAATGTGCTGCAAATGGCCGACAGAGGTCTAGGTGAAACGGCATATGACGTAAGTCACGCAACCGCACTGCTGCTTCTATATATAGAAATAGTAGCCATAGCATCACAGTTGGTAGACACACTCCTTTATCTGTAAAATATTAAGATTTAGTTATTCTTTCATATCTATTAACAATTTATCCTGATTCTTACAAAAGTAAAAATTGGATATTCCAATATAGCAAGAAATCATATTCCGCCATATGTATATCATATACTTATTCATATTTCAAATCACATTTCGTTTAACATACCTGTGTGCCAAACGTATTGCACCCAAACGTAAGTGCTGGCAGCAAAAACAGCCAATGCACAGGGATGAAAAAGAAGCAAATCATGTCAGATGTAAGTGCAATACAAATAAAAAATACAGAGAAGGCCTGAAAGAGAAAGAAACAACATATATTGTATATCTCTATCTGATAATGTCTCATAATAGTCATTAATTATGCTGAGACTTACCAAGCCTTGATATTTAAAGGAATCGTAAACGCTTCGGAGGAGTAGCCAGAATGGCCACAAAAATTCAAAACGGAACTCTAAAATAAAGTCTGCCAAGATCACCATGGCCCATAGTAGAAGAAACTTCAGATAAAGCAAAGTACTGCAACAAATATTAATGTTCTTAATATGAGAAGTGCATGTGATTTGTTATTTATTGAATTGTAATTTATGATGACTACCTTATACCTTTATCTTACACAGACTACTATACTTGTTTTCATTTAGCATATAAAAGTATATTCAAAAGAATGTGATGGATGGCAAGACATATATAGTAAGAAATGGTGTTGTCAAATAGCTTATATAAGGCTAAGACTTTGAATTCCTTATATAAAAAGGAAGAAAATCAACTGAAAAGTCAACCAATTGTCAAATCTATTCCACAAGTTTCATAAATATACTATACATATGTAGCATGGGGAGACATCAGTGTGTGAGAGTTACATGTGTACAAGCAAGGATACAGAAGGACATTGGAATTAAAAGTTGAAAGGACAGACGGAAAATGGGTAAAAACATAGGCGAGCACAGTGAGAATGTTTGATTTAAAGATAAGTGTCAGAAGCGGGATGAAGCGAGTCGAAGAGCGGACGCCGATCGTGCCGAGTCGGGTCGCGGTATTCGTCGAGCGATGCGACGTCGTCCATCGTCAGGGCGCCGCGCGACACAACACGATCCGCAGTTACACGGCGGCGAGTGTTTGGTTATTTTTCAATGCGGGACGGCCATTCTCCGTACATGGTTTTGTACGCGCGCATATGGCAGCGTACGAGCGAATTTACCTTCCGTAGATTCCCTCGGTGAGCTTGTTGCGTTTCAGGGGCCTCCGAAGCTTACCGCACTCGACATTTCTCCTCTTCATATTCCTCGACACCTTTCACCACCCCAGCGTAAGCGACGTGCTCGCGGCGCGCTACGGGAAACGGGGAAAAAAAGCAGGCGGGCAACCGCGACGGCGGATATATTTCTTCCTTTTCGGCTTGCCTCAATTGTGCGCGCGGGACACACAACACTCGCTTCGCGTGCAGGGAAAAAACTCTCTCTCGCGGGGGCTCTCTCTCGCGCGCGCGACTTCTATCAGTCTCTTTTGTTGTCATTCGTCTGCGGACAGACTCGAGGTCTCACGGTGGTTTACCGAGCAGCTGATTGGTCCATCGCGTGACATGGCGCTCGATCAGCGGACGCGAGTGATCACCTGCCGATTGTTAATCGCGCGCGTGCACGCGCGCATGGCTGTGGCCGCTTAGCATTACGCGAAATTACACAAATGATCGCGAAATGATTTTTATTCTTGCTTGTCAGAGTGCGATCACAACTGTTCACTTGCTCGCGTCACTGCGCGACCGATTTCTCTCTCTTTTGTGTTTTCTCTCGTTCTCTCTCGCGCGCGCCGTCACGATTTTTCGCGTCGCGCAACGATTTCGGGGGTTCTCTCTCTACGGAGCCTTTATCGATCGTAGATATCTCCCGACCGCGCGCGCTGCAGTCGGTCCAGCGTCCAGCGGCCTGTTTCACTCGTGTCAACACAGTGCTCTCGACCTGGCAACACGCGCGTTGTTGTTGTCTTCTTCTCGCTTTCCGTATCTTTTTCCTTTTCTTCAGCACGCCGTTACCAAGCGAGATGTTTTCGTTTAAGTGCAGCTGCGCGAAAACCGTTACAAAATAATCATGTGAATCGCAAAGACTCTTCGCGGTCGACAGGTGCACTTAAAGACGCGAAGAAAAAAGACAAACCGTTTATTTCAGTCATGCTCTATTATCTTTTTTTATTTAAAAAGCGCAGCTAAATAAATCCTAAACCAAAATTGTATCGGAAATAAACACATCATGTGAGCGTATTTATCTTCCCGTGAAAGAACGTTATTGGACTGCGTTTGTCGATTTTTTAATGTCCAACTTGTATTATTTTCATACTATTATCTAAAATTATAGCCACTAAATATTAAAATTAATATATATATATATATATATCCCTACATATATCCCTATAGGTATCCCTAGAAAACTAATTTTTTAATTGGATATTAAATATTATACGTCAGATGACGAATGACGTGAATCTTGCATAAGCAAGGATACAAATATAACGTACTTAGTTTCCCTTCTCTTTACTTCTAGAGTCTCTATGCAATACTTCCTCAGTATACTGTTTTTATCGCATAATGTATCATTCGATTCCTCGAAGTCTATCGCGCGGAAATTTTTTTCGCGCATCAGACGAATTTGTATCAACGCATAGTTCTGTGCATAAATATAAGTAATTTCTGCGACAGATGGAAAGATGGAAAACGACAAAGATTCGTTGCTCGATCGGAAATTAAAAACTTATCTACCGTTCGGCGTAATTTTCATCATTTTCGCTATTACTGCGTATACAATGACAAAAGATAAAGTGATAACATCGCTCATCACCATGTGCTTTATTACATCCGTATTTATCGTAATTTTTACATTGTGTGACGGAACGCTGCGATTATGTCACATTTTAATCTCATTGATGGACGTGAACCAACAGTCAAAAGACACTTTCTGGTCGATAGTGAATACTCATCTCACCTTGAATGCCGCATCAACGATAACTGTTATTATCAGTGGACTATTCTTCATGGGACTGATAATCACCATTCGAAAGTGTCCATTAAATTATATATGGGATTTTGGGCCCTACATATGCATACCATTGATGATAGTTTCGTTTCTTTTACTAAGGGTGACAAATCTGACTGAATGGGAACTGAAATTGTCGTCCCCTATCAGTGCTATGAAAGGTTTAGATTATGGCACAGGTATGGCGTATAGCTTTTATTACGGCTATCTTCGCCTAATTTTACCATCTACTGGCACTGCCACTAAAAGCATAGTTGAGAAAATTGAAAATTTTGAGGATAAGCACAACGTCACATTTCCTGTTCACAAGCTGTTCATCTTGATACCATTATCAGGATACATTCCACCAGATTTAAAGGAAGCATCTTATCAGTGGATGGAGAGTGCACATGAATTAGAAGAGGAACAACGCAACCGAGCTGGAAACATAGGCAGAAAATATCGGAGCATTGCATATAAAATATATCCTGATGGGCAAGGCTCAGGCAATAATCCGGAATTTGTAGTAGTAGAAGGTGCGTCACCTTTGTTGACTTACTATGAAGTACAAAAACATAATCATGCAGAGTCTAATATATATAAGCAGTATAAAAATGAGATTACGTTAATGTTCTATAAAAAGCTGCAAGAAATTTTGCAAAGTGAACCTGATACAAGAGATTTATGTGAATTAATTTACTATGATGATTATGACTCAAAAGGAGTCAAAGTCAACGTTGGAAAGATAATTTTAGAAAGAATAAACAAGATAAAGAATTCCACATAAATATGAAAAAACGTTAAGATATATATTTTATGATAAACTTTTAATATAATTATATATTACGAGCTTTTATAATACAATTACTAACTAATGTTGCTATCTATACTACTTTTTACTAGTGCATGTTCATGTTCATACATGTAGTTTGTACAAAGTACAAAAACATATTGTTTATGTAATGTTTTTGTACTTTGGCAAATGCATGTATTCTTGAACAAGAATATATTCTAAAACCTTACATTTAGCAAAACTGACTTTATGAATAATACTTTTAATGTATAAAATTTTATGATAAAAATCATTGATAAGAGCATATATGATATGCAATATTGTATAATTTATAAATATTCTATCAATCGTAATCTTTATATATGATTTTATTATATTGTTTCATTTTTGAATGATATGTTCCTTTCTTTTTATATATCGTACAGTTAGACAGTACAAAAAAATTGTAACTGCAAAACTATAAGAGATTTACACAATTTATTTTTTTTATAATTGTGACAAAATAATCCTAATATATAAGCACAAGATTTTTGTTTATGTTACACTGTATATTTTATTATCTTATTGTATAATTTTATATATTTCTCATTACTTTTATATTATTTTATCACGTTTAAACAAGATACTCAACATACTTATACATCTAAGAATATAATTACGATATCAATTTTTATTACCGTCAATTTAATTTTTGTTTGCCAAATGTTTATGTTTACTTTCTAAAAATCTGTCTAAGATGTAAGGAATAGTATAAAATATATAAAATTTATTACGTGTACAAAACGTGTCATTTATTCACAGATACAAGATCTTTAAGAAATAGATTACAGTATCAGCAATTTTCAAGGGAAGACATTTACCGATCGCTAACGTCTGCACGTCCATATGCAGTTATTTTTTATACGTAATCTTATACGTATTACGTTAGTCAAAAACCCGCATCCAGAATTAAATGATTTGTATATAATACATATGAACAAGACATTTGTCGTTTCGTCGAAAGACTTCGTCTCTTAAAAACTTGTGATTTTTAATAAGATTATTGGCAAAAGGCACATAATTGGAACGTGTTAGCCATATTACTCTTGCAGTTGCCGTAAAATCGACAATGCTCTCGAATATGTCTATGAACACATTACAATCGTCACAAATGACGGCAGATTACATTTGCTTCACATGTCCATTTCAAACTGCTCCGCAGATTCCTCGATTACCAGAGCATCTGTAATATAATATATATATGTATATAAATATGAGAACAATCTTCCGACATATGCAAAATGACTTTATACATTTTAATGGGTCATTCTCTCTATATATTAATCTGTATGTATCAATAAGGATGTGTTCCTATTCATTCTTGCTTGAAATATATGCATTCAGTCTTCTCTCTCTTTTTTGTAATATACTAAGTAAATATACTAAGTAAAAAATATTTCTAATATACAAATCAAGATCCACTCTGTATTTTTTATTTGAAAAAAGAACTTTAAAGTGATGTAACAAAATCAAATCATAAATATAAAAGAAATTAACCTTTATTAGTAATTTTAGTGGGGTCTCTCGTAATGGCTGGAGTGCTACCTTTCAGCAATTCCGGTGGTATAGTCAGCGTATTTCGCGGCGGTGTCCGCGATATCGGAGAGTTTCGCAAATTCATCAGAAATGCACGTTCATATACGATGCGAGTACCTGTACAGAATTCGCAGATATAAAATCCAGTTATAATAAAATCTATTACTTAAGTATAAAGTATTGAATTTTTTTCAGAAATTTTATAAAATAATTATATTTTATATAAAAATCTTTGTACAATAATAATTAAAAGTTTATTTAACTTGAAAATTAAATTGAAATTTGCGTATAAGTATTCATAATACAATTATGAATAACACAATATATTATGAGATAATACAACATAGTTCATATTTCTATTTGTCGTGAGATAAATTAGATTTGGAACCACAATATTTGTGATTAGAATTATTTGATAAGGTAATGAGATTAATTTCTGCTAGACAAAATATAAATCAAATTTATCGTAAGTTATATATATTTGTTTTACTACGTTAAATATCTGATAAGAGAGAGAGAGAGAGAGAGAGAGAGGAAAAGATTTCTTAATGTCTTAAGAAAATAATTTTTTTTTCTATCTAAAAAAACTGAAGATAACGAAACGATTTTAATGAAAAATTGATAATAGAAAACAGGGTAACGATGACATGCTGAAAATGATACAATGGTCCGACAACTATACGAAAAGCGGCCGCACAGTGTCTATTTATACAAGTGTATTTCTGTACTGATACCTAACTTTAAAGGGGTGCAAGGGTTGTTGAGGTTGGCAAAACGAGCATAATCACAGAAAACGCGACATACGCACGAAACAAAGTCAACCGCACCTACTATATTCAGCGATGCTGGAATTCTTTGTTGCCACGCATGCTTAATCCGTGCGTAAGCATAATATGATGATTAAATCAAGATAACAATTCATACAATTTTTAAATGAACACGCGCGCTCATGAAGCAGTCAACTGTTACCTATTATTGTTCACGCATTAGGCGATTAGACATGTTAAATCTGTAACGAGCATTCACAATACGTGAAATACCAACGTCGCGCGGTTAAGCTAAAGTTATCTCGAAGGTCTAACAAGTCATTTTTCGCATCATACATGCTTGTTTTTCACAAGCGCCGTGACTTTTAGCGCGCCGCGCCACGCCGGCGCGGCGATAAACATTACGCGTCACTGATTACGTATCGGATGATGTTCGGGCGAACATATACCGCGCGTACACATTGATTTGGCCTTGGCCAGTTAGTCGGATCGTAGAGAACATCGCCGGGCGTGTACGAAAGTGTGCAAAATGCGGCCCGGCTTACCGGCAGATTCGCCCGTCTCGTTATCGAACATTTCTTTCATTCTTTCACAATATATGTGTCCTACTAACATTTCCACTTCATTCCAGCCGGAATTCAATGGAACAAATATCCCTCAAATATCTCTCTTCCCCACAAATCTAATATAATTTCGACAATTCTGATGATTAATTTTTGAATCTTGCTCCAATATTGTACTGTGCGCAGCAAATATAGAATTGTTTGTTCTTTTGCGAAAAAAGGGATCAATTTTATTTTCTTTTATAATATTAAACATATAAGCAATTTTGTTATTTTAATCATAAATTTCGTCCAAGTGTTTATATAGAATGCTCCAAACTTTTGAGAGACAGTGTACATTCTAATTTCGAAACACAGTCTACGAGTGAGAAATATGCTATTCGGTCACGAAAGAATTAAGATTCACTTTTTGTCAACTCTTATTAAAATTTAAAACATTGTTAGAAATATGAATTGCATTTTCATTTTTCGAATTTGTGAATAAAAATGATGTTTTGATATTTTCGCAGATAAAAAATTGATTCAAAATTAGAAAATTAAAAAGTCTGCAAATCAGAAAAAACAATTGATATAAGACATATATCCTGTATGATTTTATTCCGCGTTCCTTTATACTACGTAACCGATATATTGCCCAGCTTGCCTTCCTGACTTCTCACTCTTCCTTTCGATCGAAATGACGCGCATTCGAAAAAAAGTAAACATTAAGTGCGATAGCCTATCGTTCGCTAAAAGCGCGATAAGTCCGTATTTATATCTAGCATTTAGTATTGAGCTCGACAATTTAAATTTTAGTCTTATAAATTTAACCTTCAACTCTGAAGATGTAATGTTGATATATATATTATTATCCTGCGTTTAAAAACACACCTTTCTTTACTTCCTTTATTTTAATAAATAATTTTCTCATTAAATTTTTTAAAATTTTATTTTATTTGTACTCATTACATCTTTCCAAAAAATTGGAAAAGATAAGACTAAAAGATTTGAGTGCTTTTTTTATGCATAATAATTAAAGAATTAACATAGCAATTCAATAAAAATATCAATAATAAAAAAATCACCGTTGAATATTAATTATCTATTAGTATCTAAATTGTATGTAATATTACGTGACGTAATAGTTGGATTAGCTAAATGTAGAATATATACACGACGCAAAAAAATCTGAATATTTTTCCATAAAGATTAAACTCCGAAATACGCAATTACGTAATGTTGTTCGTTATCGAATCGAACACGCAGAACAGTGCGAAAAAGCCGATAATCGCGCATGTCGCGTTCGATCGACAATGCGTTGTCGCGTAAATACGAATGGCCTTGACAGCGGCTTGCACGAGTGCATTTGTTTATCGAGGTCGAAACGACGCTAATACGGTGTCGATATCTCGGAGTAGACGTGTGTGCAATACGCAATATAAAACGTCTCGCAACAATTTCACTCTTGTTTTTTTTCTGAGAATCCTCACGCGTGCAGACCGTTTTAATCAGCACATGGTTCTAAGGAGAATGAATAATTTTCGCAAATGCCAATATTTATTTTGCCTGCCGAGTACAACACAGTGCATACACAGCAGATATCAATAAATTGCGACTTTCAATTAAGAAATCTGTCATCGGTTTTTATAAAAAGATCTACTCGAGAAAAAAAACAGACCGCGATAGTCTTCGTGATAACATCAGAGACTTTGAATTGAGACTTAGATTAAATATATATCTATCTTCTCGCAAGTGTCATACAATCAAACCTTTCTCCGTCTTAGATTTCTGTCTGAATTTAGATTAAACGATTTAACCGAGGCGTTGGTTATCGCAACTTATGTTTTCACGCTCACAATTATGACGATTATGTGTGATTTTATTAATAGCAAGCGCGTCGCGACTGCTTAGTAGTTTCACGGTCAAGAGTAAAGTTAAAAGAAAAATGTTCACAATTGAATGCAATGCACTGACCTCCCGGTGTTGTGGAATAAAGCGTGCCTCCAGGAGTGGACGAGTAATCGGCCGGTAGCTGGTTAGGATCGTGGATGACGATCCTCTTGGATGGTATGCTCTGGCTCTGAGTAGCCTGTCTGGCGATAGGGGATGCAGACATTGTTGATCTCTCTTTTCTTCGTGAGCTTTTCCCCGGAAAAGAAGTAAACTTCCCTCGCGTTCTAATCGCGCTCTCCGAAAACAAAGACCCGCAGCGCGTTATTAGCTACAAACGGCACCCGCTGTGCGTAATAGGAACTGTCTTTCAATGGAAGACAACCGTGACTCTGTCGAGATCGTGTGGCTTCTTATATGCCAAGTCGTACATTCGACCGACTAACACGTAATCCCAAAACGAGTATTTGATACGAACGCGATAAAATACCTTGTTACTGTCGCGGACTCAACGCAACATAACCTAGAAGACGGATGAAGAGAGCGTTGAATCGTTTCACGCAGAGCGACCGCGGAACGCGATAAGCCACTGTCCGCTTATATAAACCTCTCCCACTTCTCTCCTTCGCAAGAGTACTATTGAAAGGAAAGCAGAGGGAAGAGCAGGGAAGAGCGGTAAAAGTGACGAAGGATTCACATCACTGTTGTCAAATAGACGAACTCCTTTTTCGCGTATGCGCAGCACAGCAACAGTGACGTCTATCATGTTTTACTCGAACTATGAAGAAGAGTGCCATCTAACTGAAAACAATTTTCAGTGCAAACTCATGATGCTTTGTAATTGCACTATAAGTACACTTTCTACACCTAAAATGAAATAAATATATAATAACGGTTGGAGAGAAAAAGAGAGGAGAGAGAAAAAGTACAATTGCAGCAGTCTATGTATTATCATGCTATCGTATACATTCTTTGAGGAATTTCGCGTTTGATAAGAAATCAAATAATTCTTATTGCATTGATTTTAAAACGGGACTATTTTCGGTGCTACACGTGAGTCCAAGATGAATCCCACAGAGCCAAGCGGCACCGAGACTCTCAGGTACAATGAGTTCACATTGGACGATACTGCAACAAGGTTATGCCGGCTTATACTTGACAATGATTATCAAAATTAACACTTGCTTATCAAAGTTTTATATATTTTATCAATAGTTTTTACGTGTTTTATTAATCTCATAACGTTTATGTCTTATACCAAGTGATTTGTTTTATTACACGAATTACATGTCTCTTTGTAGCTCTAAGATGAAGGATGTGATCGACGTCCTCGCGATGCAACGTGAAAAGAGAAATGCGTTACAGAAAAGTATTACAATTGATTATACGAAGTCCAGCGATAGTTTTACAGTTTCACGATTCATCTTTGAATGCGGTATGCAAGCTGTAAAAATATTTTGTGTTGTAGAAAAGTGGTCACATATATGAACCGAAATACAACAGAAAATTTTTTCCATTGTAGGCTTAAAATTAGAAGCTCATCCATTGACAATAGCTACTGCTGCTATATTATATCATAGATTTATGAAAGAAGCGGCACCACAGGGATATGATAATTATGTAAGAACAAATGTTATATCAAATCATTGTCAAATCAATTGTAATATTAACTGTGTTTTCAAGAGATATAACAAGTTTTATCTATTTTTATCTATTTTAGCTAATAGCTGCAACCTGTCTTTATTTGGCTGGTAAAGTAAAGGATGATGCATTGAAAATAAGAGACGTAATGAACGTATCATACAATACACTTCACAGAGGATCTCAACCTTTGGATCTTGGAGATCAATATTGGAGTATGAGAGATGCAATTGTTCAAGCTGAACTTTTGATCATGAGAATGCTTAAGTTTCAGGTTACACCTGTGCATGCACACAAAGTAATGCGTTATGATTTACTAATTGAATATGATATTGATGCATATATGTGTATATGAATAACTACATTATATTATTCTGTTGTAGTATATGCTTCATTATCTGCGGTCTCTACAAGCTTGGTTTGGTGAAGAAGAATGGTCCAAGTATCCGGTTGCCAAAACTAGCATGGCATTGTTACAAGATTTTCATCATTCTCCAGCTATTCTTGACTTCCCACCTAATTTAATAGCAATAGCATGTATTAATTTGGCGCTGCAAATTTATGGTGTAGTTGTACCTTTGATGGATGAATGCGATCAACAGCCATGGTTTAATGTAAGTGTACAATATTTTTGTATTAATATATATCTATATTATTGATGATTTTTTATGAGGTATTTATTGCAACAGGTTTTTTGCAAAGATTTAGCAAGAGAGAAGCTATGGGAAATTATGGAGAAAGTTATGGCAGCTTACGATGAAGAACCTGAAACCAGAGACAATTGAGTAGCGTGTATATGTGTTTATTGCATAATAAAGTATTCCTTTCATATTGAAAGCTATTACAATTGCATTATGGAAGTTCACTGGCACAAAATTTGTAATTGGCACAAACCTATTTTGGATTATGTATTCCTTGTGTTCTTTATAATATTTTATGAATTATAATGATGTGAGACTTACTACATATATAAAAAACAAAATGTTTCAAATATTTTTAGCATACCTTTATACATGCATTTCAAATAAATAAGTGGGAAAATATTTTAATATAGATTTTTTAAAGTAATTATAAAAATATAATTATTTTGATTTTTTTTTATGTATAATGATGAAATTTATTTCTAGAATTCAAAGTAAGGCAATTGTTATGTATAAAATATTAAAAACAAAAAATACATATAAGTAAAAATATCTTCTATAAAATTTCTACAATTTTATCTTTATATTAAAATGATGCTGAAATAGCACAAATTAGAAAAATATATTAATAATATAATTGTTTAAAATATATATAAACTGTCAAAAGCACATTTCGAACAAAAAAGTTTTTTTCAAAGCCGCAAGCTTTTCGTGAAGAATAAATATAGCACGGACACAAACCGACATTTTGCTGACAGTCTCGAGAAATGGTTATGTAGTTCTATATCCACTTTTGTGGATATAGGCCGGTATTCATAGTCCGTTCTTATATTCAAGATTGTCTTAAGTACAGACTTATATTCGCTCTCTTCGTCAGACACAATCTATGTGTGACGAAGAGAGCGAATATAAGTCCGTATTTAAGACGATCTTGAATATAAGAACGTACTATGAATACCGCCCATAGTGGCGTGTAAATCAGCACATTTGTGTAGGAATCACTAGATCATTATAGGTCTGTTCTTTATAGCTGAACTGGCTGCACTAGTTCAGAGTTTATCTTTCTTCAATGTGGAGGGAAAAAGATAAACTCTGAACTAGTGCAGTCAGTTCAGCTATAAAGAACAAACCAAATGTGATATCTTTGAATATGTGTAGTTGATTATAGAATCATGTAAGATAGAGTGAGATATACTTTTCCCTTGAATATTTTTGCTGTAAATGTATACATTGTATATGAACAGAGTACGTTGCTGGTCGAAACGATTTAAACTGATTATTGATAATTAATAATAAGGAAGAACGTATTAATATATATTGATTGTGTTATGTTAATTCTATAATTGAACGTGAAACATGATGCTGACAAAATTATTCGATACTTTTATTAATACTCAAAGAACGCAAGTAAGTCTATGTATTGTATGATAAAACATGTAGTTTGCAGTTATAGAAACTAATTATTTTCTATTATTCTATATGATAAATTACTTTGCACTGTTCATTGAAAAGTTCAATGCATGCTTAATCTTTTTACTGGAATGCACACATTTTTATATTTAATTTTTTTCTTATATATTTGTACATTTGTGTTGTGTAAATTTTTTCTTATTCAGTATACTCTACATATATGTCATATTATTTTATTGTTTTTAGTTTCACAAACATTGCGGATTAGGCACACTTGTTTTTAAGATAAATAGCATGTGTACTAATGCATTTGATAAGATCAATTTGCTCTCTTCAGAAGAAAAAGAGAAAATACTCAACATAATAAATAGCAAAAATACAGAGGATCTATTACAGTGAGTTAATTGTTTGCATAAGAGGTTTTCCAAATTATGTTACAAAATTTTGATCATATTTTTTTCATTATTAAAATTATTTATGCATAGGTATTCCATAACTAAGAAGCGTGCACATAATTTAGAATTGCATCGAATAGATAATGGACCATATAAATCAGTAAAGGATTTATTACTAGTAAAGGGTATAAATACCAAATGTTTATTTAGGTTTTCTAAATCAATTATATCTGGCAAAAAAATGAGCTCTAAAAAAATGTCATATGGCTTGGTCTTGACACCAAAAGCTGTTGGTGATATTCATAAGGTATAATAAGTTGATATTTTCTTAATTTTTTTATTAAGAGATTATATTATATATAATATCAAGAACTGTTTCATATTTTTATACATTTTGTTTCAATATGATGCATTTATGAAATTTTACAGAAGGTTAACACAGTATTAGGCATACATATAGGGCCAAACATGATCAGTTGGTCATTATTAAATCGTGATTCCGAGGTATTGCAATGGAGTTATAAATCCTTTCCAGAAAAACGGGCAAAGGAAAATCTTCATACTTTAGTTCAAGTAGTAAATATCCAAATAATTATTTGTACTTAAGTAAATATAATTTTATTATATAATTTAATTAAAATTTTTAATTTGATTGTTGTCAATTATATGACGAGTATGAGTGTTGTCATGATTGTTTTTTTTTTCGTTTAGATATTACCAATTGTTGCAAAACTACCAAAGGCTGAGCGATATGTAATGCAAGAGACTGGTGGTGACATGTGTTATCAGCAAAGTCGCAAATTTTATCTTGCTTATGTACGACAATCCATAATAGGTGCTATCATCATGTCGTATCTGACATTGAATTGTAAATTAGACGGTAAGATCATTTTTATATACTGAAGCAATCATATAACATTAATGTAATTAAAATGCAGTTAGAAGAATTGCTTTCTTAGTTATTTGTAAAATAAAGGTTTTGAACTACAACTATGATTTAATCCAAACAAATAATTGCTTCTATTATTTTTATTTTTATATGTAATTCTTGTTATGTACTACAAAGTAAACAAAAATTTAATATAAAATTTATAAATTTTTCAGATACTGCAGAGTTTGTAGCAAATAATATTTTTATACTTCGACAGCATACTTTACGGAAGATCTATGGACTTATAATTGATAACGAAGTTATATCTACACAATATATGTTGCAAAAATTGCTACAAGAGAATGATAAATTATTAGAAACCAAGGAACGCTGGCCAAGTGTCTCCATAAATGCAGAATTAAGAAATATGTATCAAGCACAAAGTTCTGTTTATCAAGAACAAATGAATTGGTCTTTATTGATAGCATTAGCTTTCTTAGAGTTAGTTGTACATGAAAGAACTGATATGATTGTTCGTAGCGCTCAATAGATTGTGATATATATTCTTATATGTATATATATATTTCTGTTTGCATTATAATATATATATACACATTATAATCCAAACAGAAATATGTAGCAAGTTAACATTATCAATGAGTCTAGTTTGTAAATTATATTTACATGATACAAAACATAAACATATTTAAGAAATTAAGAATTTCTTATAACTTAAGAAACAAAAGAAAGAATGGGCAAATCATTACTTACATTGATATTGTTATAATCAGAAAAAGTTAATAATTTCTTTAAGTTTTTCTGGTCAAGTAATTTTTTCTTTATGAATATATAATAAATTGTTTATATTAATACAATTAATATAAAAAAACATGTATATATACTAAAAATATACTTTGACAAAAAATATCTGTAAAAATATAATTAATTTAGGTTTTATTTAATGTAATTATTTTTTAATGAAGTAATAATTATATATCATAGTCAAATTTGTTAACGCTGTCAGATTGATTGAGAGAATATTCGTTGTAATCATTCACATGTTAAAAGGCGCAGATTTTCAAGTAACAAGGTCATCGATTTTGTGCAAAACTAGTTTGCTCAACGACCACAAAGCTTTCATAATATTGGGAGTACAAATTAGTTCGGTCCGTTTTCCAAAAGATAACTCTGGTTGTTGTGAATGGTTCATAGTGACAGCTGATTTTGGCGGTTTCAGAGAGGTTAGACATCTGCTAATAATATTCAGTTTATATCGCTTTGAGTTTCATACAAAAACCTTGATTTTTTTACTGTGTTCGAAATGTCGAATTTTGTGCTAACCAAGCAGCATTTGCGGGAGGTTTTAATTTTCTGCTTTAATTGGAAGAAAAGTGCAGCTGAAGCCCATCGAATGCTTGTCGAAGTTTATGGTGACACTGCTCCAACTGATAAATCATGTAGGGAATGGTTTCGACGTTTCAAGGATGGAGATTTCAGCGTTGAAGACAAGCCTCGCTCTGGACAGCCAAAAAATTCGAAGACAAAGAATTAGAGGCATTACTCGAAGAAGATCAGAGTCAAACGCAAGAGGAGCTTGCAGGATCATTGGGAGTAACTCAACAAGCCGTTTCTGTACGATTGAGAGCCATGGGAATGATACAAAAACAAGGAAAATGGGTGCCTTGTGAACTCAAACCGAGACGATAAGCCCGGTCAATCGTTGCCATCGACCTCAACATTGTTGCGTTATCACTGAAAATGTTGTGTACATACAGAGAGACTATGTTAAGAAGTAAAACTAAGAGACTATATTGAAAAAAGAAACATTTCATACAAAAGATTTATAAATAAGAATTTATAACAAATGTTCGGCTTATATTTGAACTACCCTTATATTACGCTCGAGTTACAAAGCTCGAGTTAGATTGATGATAAATAGCAATTCAATGAGATCATGGCATTAATTTTAGAAATAAATCTATTTGTGGAGTTCTTTAAACCACAGCAAATTAAATTTTAAAAGTAAAAATAATTTACATCTCGAAATAGAAGATACCCTTATAATAAATATTTGATTACAATTTTTATTAAAGAAAATTAATAGTATATACGCACTCAACTGAGATTTCTATTTGTTGTGTATAAAGATACATTCATAAAGAAAAATCATTGCTTTAACGAAGGTAAGTTTAAATCTACTATTAAAACAACTTTTCTAAGCATGGTTGCGACATTTTTGTATATATTTTAATTAAACAACATATGCATGCAGAATAAAACATTGGTCTATGCATTTGAAACAGAATAATTTCCAGTATGTAATACTAAATGTTTTAAAAATATTGACTAAGTTGTATCTCTACAAGATTGCAATTGACAAATTGATCAGAGCGATCAAGAACAAGAGCTATTTATAATTAACATGTTTTTTATTCAACTTATGTTACAAATTTAAAATATTCGAGTATTTATGCATAAAAGGTGGCCTATTACAAGTACATATTTGAATAATAGATACTAATGTAGTCGAAATTAATAAGAACAATTGTTTCAATATTAAAGAATTACTCTACATACTCTTTAAACCATAAGAGACTAAAAATTCAAGATTTTATGATGGATTTTATTTTGGAAATATAAATATGAATAACAAAATATCATTCTACAGCCTTTATTTGAACAGAATTATTACTTAATATACAGTATTTGATGTTAAAAAGTGAATAGTTATAACAAATAATAACTAATTAAATTTTTGTTGGAGAAAAATCAAATTCAAATTTGTATAAGACTCTATCACTAAAATATTTGTCAGTGTTGGCAGACCACCCCGCATATTGTCCCCGTAGTATTGACACATTGACTGCCGAGTGAAACTTATCAGTTTTCTCAATGCAAATTTACCATTTCTTAATTGTCCGATGCGTAGACAATTTTCTATTATTATATTAAGATAGATGGACTATCGAAGCTTATAAAATACCCCAAAGAGTTAAGTGCAAAAATAAGTGCCGGATTGTATATCTCGGCACGACGCGATACAAACATTGTATGACTATAATGATCTAATGTAGCAATCAAAGTGTCAATTACAATTTTTCTTCATAATAATACAATTGTAGTATTATTTTCTCAAATTTCATATTTGATGTCTTACATTTTTAATTAATAACTTTTTTCATTTAAATATATGTTACGTTGAAAATGAAATTAATTTATTGAATTTATAAAATCTCCAGTAATTCATCGGCTGATGAAATGCTGGATGAATTCCACATAGATAGATGTATTACATAATGAATGTATGTTATACATAAACCATCGGTAATTTCATAGATGCATTAGTCGTCACTAAATATATTATCTCTATACATATAGATGTATAACATACGACTTTACGACTATACACAAAAATTTTATGTAACAATCATGATCGAAATACAACATCATATGTTAAAAAATCATAATGTTTGCGCATTTAATTGATTCTAAAATATTTTCTGTTAATAATAATATAATGTAAGATAAGTAATATGCATGTCAAGTGTTTGGAAAATACATAATCCATATTACACATCTTTATAAATCAAATTCCCCTCTCGCGCTTGGTTCAGTAAACTATAAATTAATCAAAAAAGGGGGAAAAAAAAATAAAAAAAAGTCTATTCTGATAAGATTCAAATCAACGAAGAATACTGGAAATTGAATCTGATTTTACATTGAATTACAAACATTACAGTATTCTTGAGTAATGTGAATGACATTAATATTGAGTACTTCCAATTCAATCATACCTGAGAAACGAAGGTCTTATTCACAGTTATGCTACACAATCAAGAACCCATTTTAATGCCAATTCGAATGCAAACACGCAAATCGGTGACGCTCTTCATCTTCATAAATTATAATTCGTATTATTTATTACATTTTGCTTATTGATTTTGCGTTCGTCGGTCTCCCATGATATTTTCCACTTTTCGCGCGACGTGGAGAGGAAGGGTCGTGGGCTTTTTAGGAGATGTACCTTCTGCCATTTCTACATCGGTATCATCAGAAAGCAATCGTTTTCCTACACCCTTTTTCGCTTCTACAGATATCATCATCTTATTGATGGCTTCTAAATCCTGAAAAAGATGTTAATGCATATATGTCACTCGTGTATGTGTATAAAGAAGGAAAAAAATCACTTTTCAGAAGAAATGAAAAAATATGAAACTATATTTCGATTAAAAATCTATTTTACCTTGGCAGGACTACGACTAAAACAATAACTTAATTGCGGCGCCGGTGACGCACTAATAGCCTTTGGGTCCAGAGTACGTGTCATAATACTACTGGTAACACGTCTCACTGGGGAATTAGCAGGTGCTTTTCCTTTTGGTAAAGGGCTCAGTGAGAGATTCATGACGCTACCGCGAGCCAATCCAAATTTGTTTGCAAAATCCTTCACCTGCGGTACGTATACCGTATTGTAGAATTTGATTAGATCACCGCGTTCCTCTCCGTCGAAGTTCTGCGATGTCCCGGCCATATTTGTCGGCGTCGGCGGAGCTGTATTTTCTCCCAATGTCCCGTTGTCCTCCGATTTTTCATTATTGCTCATCGTCGGATTTCCATCATTGGGAATTTTTGTTATAAGCACCGATCTATATATATGCGATTCCGCCTGCGGTTGCAGACGATAACACCGCATAATCTCAGTGAACGAGTTCTTCTCCATCTTCACCAATTTACATATTACATAAATTGCACACATTAAGATCTGATCGAGATGCCGATCTTTCATCAATTCGGTACGATCCTTGATGGAGTATTCGAAAATTGTCCAGATCTTCTTCTTATCGGTATCTGATATTTCTAACGAATTGCACAAGTCTTGCATGCGTACGAACGCGAGATTGTAGAACTTTCGGAAAAACAATGCAACAGAACCTGTTTTTCTTGGTTTAGCCATGTCTTTGTTGGCCGTTTGAACAACTTGTACTGAATTATGTGAAACTTGTGCGCCCGATGTTTTCGAAATGGCTTGATCGGGTACCAAAAGAATCTTTTGGCTTCCGTCTATTAACAGTCCTCCTCTGTTAGAAGATAACACGCTCTGCCCGACGCGTAGGACACTTTGACCGGTAATTCTTGTTTCAGGGAATAATCGCTTCTTCGCTACACCAGATCCTGCGATAGGAGACTGAAACCTAAAATGACACACACTCTATATACATCATTGGTAAAAAAAATACTTAAGTGAACAATAATAATAAAGGAGCTTGCTTCATAATTGCTCTATTATTTGGCAGACAAATTATTATTTAAAAACGATAAGCTTAATTAATAATTATATTAATAATTATATTAATAATTATATTAATAATTATTAACAGTTATTACAATCCATCATAAATTATAATTATATTCTCACGTTTATTAATATTATTTTCACTAATCTTTTTCATTTTTCCCTTAAAAAAAAAAAAAGAAATATGATCATTTGTTGCCACTATGCTAATAGTTGTATACCTTTCTGAAGCAGACGAAATTGGACTTTGTTGAACATCATGATGGGTACGATCACGATCAAAAGCCATCCGTCTCAATACCGGTTGACCAGGTGCGTTTGGATCAACAGTTTCCAATGTGCCAGGTAAAGATACTTCCTCACAACTCGGCACACCATCCTTTAAGGAAACAATAGTTTGCCATAAAGGACTATCGCTTTGCCAAGCTAAAGATTCCAGAATTTTCTCTTCGATCTGATTCAAATGCTTGACAACATCCCGTGATAATTGATCCTCAGTTCTTACTATAATTTCTATAACTTTATAGAAATAGTAAGCGTCTAAATTCAAAGCTTTTAGTATCCATGGAAATGTCTTATCATTGCTCTGATAAGAATATATAACTATCTCGAGACAGCAAGCGAACAGACATTGAATAAAAAGTTCATTTGAAAGTAAATTCTGTAACAGATGTAACAGATTAACATATAAATATGTGACCTCAATAATTTTTCAATCTATGCTGTTTTATTTATGTAAACTTACAGTTATGTCGTAATTTGGCTTCTTGCGCTTTTCATCATTTAAAATCATTTCCAGAAGCTTATAAAACAAAGTTTGCCCCATAAGAAGACGCCTCCTTCCATAGTCTGATGTCGAACCGTCGTTTATGCTGGCGGAATTTACATTATTGTTATAACTTGCGCAAAATTGTTCACCAATTTGTGTAACTTTGGCCTCGACTAAAGATTTAACGTTTTGAGAACAACTGTTCAACATTTGCAAGAGGCTTTCACTTGGAGCAGATTGCCCAGCTATCAAAGCTTGTAACTTAATGACACTTTGAGTCGCCGTAATAACTGGCGTTATATTAGACATATCCTTCGATCGGAGATATTTACGACCAGTCAGTGGTGTAGGAGGTGCCATGTACTGCATCTGCTATGAAAAATGAAAAATTAAGTATACAATTATAAATTATAAAGGCTCAAATAATTAAAAGTCAAATTGTAACGTAAAGGAGTGAAAAGAACGAAGTTGTTAACTTGAAGAGCATGTATTAAGATTACAAACAAACGTTTCAGCTTGTCATCAGGCCTTCAGTGCGAAATGTTCGACTTTGTACAGAAAAATTTATTATTAACTGTTAACTACGTGATAATTTAATTTATTGTTCACTGTTTTCGTGCAACCTAATTTATTGTCAAAGTTATGGATATTGCAATCTAAAAGATAGCGTGCGTTTTATTTGTTATTATTATTAACATGGAGGAAGACCTGATGACTGAAAAGTTTGTATGTAATCTTAATACTATGTCTTTTTTGTACGAACAACTGGTGTTGATTCTTTTCGTTCCTTCGCGTTACAAGTTTTAAGTATGCAATATTATATACACAAAGAAATATATCATGTTTGTAATCTTTTAAAATAGATATATATTTTTTCTAAAACTTACCCCAATATGCTGTTCTTTCTTCATTTGCAATTGTTCACGAAAATCATCAATGTTCATCATTTGCGTAGGAGAACCGATATTTTCATTAGCGTCGTTGCCTGAAACAAAAATCATAAAATATCAAAATTTATGTTTATACTTTGAAATGATACAAAGACACAAAACGGTCCAATTTTGTATAACATGTTTGTATAACAAACGAGTGGTTAGTAATAAAAAAATTATATTTATAAAAATATCTACAAGCCAAAAGCATCCTCACAAGATATCACAAACCCACCTTTAAGATTTACATGTTGAGCAAACTGGTCATGCTTAACAATATTTTGACCAAACGTATCCGAATTTGATATGTTGTTCAAATTTATTCTTCTCCATTCCGCTACAAAGCAATTACGACAAAGCAGATAAACAAAATTGTAAAAAAAAAAAGAAAAAAACCATAAAATATTTTAATAAACTATATAAAGCTTACTAGAAATATTTTTTATTCTTTTTTTTAACTAGAAATTTATTAATCTACAAGTTCAGATAGTTTAATCGTAAAGTATATACATTGTATATTTATTAAATAGTTATAAGTGCAAAAAATTTTACTATGAAGACAAGAAAAAATATCAATGTATTAAGTAGAAGTCATAAATTCAGGATAATTAAAGTTAAAAATAATTAATATCACAACAACAGATGTTTGTTTCGCAATTTACATAGCTATTTGCAAAAGCAAAATAAGTTAATAAAGCATGCAAGATTGTAATGTAAACTTATAATAAAGTGTATATGTTCTTTGTATCAATGTTAACATCATTTACAGTTAAATATTAATATAAATATAAAAAAATGTTTAGTATGGAATAAAAATTCTACCTAAAAAAATTCTTTCATCAAAATCCCCAACGCTTAATACACGCTGTTCATAAGCCTTGTTAATGGCTTTGTTGTTACTATCGAAACTCAGTGCCTCAGTGCCTAGTATACCAGAGAAATTTGATTGATCACCGCGTAAGATCTTCTCATTAAATAGTTTATTCATACAATTTTTCATGTAATATTCCTTTATAACTTTAGCCTCAATAGGGATTGCTCCATGACGTTCACACAACAAACTAACAATGCAATCAATTGTTCTTGGTGGACTATAATTCTCATCATTGAAGTTTGCTGGTAAGCCTATAAAAAAATCATATAAAATATGAATTGTTTTTGCTCGAACATAAAGTAACATCTAAAAAATTAATCACAAGATTTAAATACTCACCAGAAAAATTGGGATTTAACAAATCTTTTCTGTTTGCCAACACAGCATTGTTATATATAAGATCACAGCAGACTAACAAGAGATGATAAGAGTTAACAAGGTCGTCCGAAATATCAGGAAATGTACCCTTTATATATATAAATAATGTCCAACAGAATTCAAAGACCCTGGAAGGGGTACAGGGAACTGCTTTGTGTCTTCTAGACCTAGGCGGTCTAGTAGTATCCTCTTTGGGATCCTTAAATATATCAGTAAACAGTGGCTGATATTTTGTAAATATAAGCCAAGAAACTGAAAACTTTGTTTCTAGCTTTTTTATCTTGGTGCGAAAATCTTGCGGCATATTTGCCATATCTGCCCATGATTTGCTTTTTGTAAAGAATTGTATCAATGGAAGATTACACAATTGCAAGAGACGTGTCAATGATACACAGTTGCCTTCCACATTACCACCAGTCCTTCCCACTGTAGGTGTAGAGGATTTTCTACAAGCTACGTATAATGCACATCCTATCCAATGCAATTGATCACCCTACAAATATGTATCAACATTTTTTATGACAATATTAACATTAGATAATTAACACATTTCAGACCAAATAATGTCAAAATATGTCTATATATAAATGGTAGATGCGATATGAAATGTGTTAAAATACCATTTAATACTAAAGACAGGTAACATTCATAAAAAGCTACTGATATTCTACAAGTAAAAGAATTCACAGTACACAGTGTATGACAAATTTTGAGATATTAATGTAATGTCATTTTTCCTTAAAAAAATTAAAAAATAAAAGGCACAAAATCATTAGGAAGAAAGAAAGCATGTGAAAAACACTTTCTGCAGTGATTCGTGTTGAGATTATCGCGCCAATTTTTATCCGTTGCGTTATCTAATCTAAAGTTTTTCTCAAATTTGCAGTGGAGAATCGCCTGAACATCATTCTGTTTCGTCTTATGTGCATCAGTGATTCAAAGCGACATTATCACGACGCGAGTATGAACCATCGCTTCGTTTCGCGTGGGAAGGTACTCACGAATAATCATATTTGTCGTGAGACGAGTACGCTATTACAAGATAAAGTACCTCGAGAGTATAGTTCTGACGGATAGTTTCGTAGGACTTCCAGGCCTCGGACGCGGCGGTCGCGTCCATATTTAACTTCTGGCAGAGATCCTGGTGTCGACTGTACGTCGAATCCTCGATATCGTCCGACTGTCCCATTTTCCGGACTGTATTCCAGCTGAGGAGGCTTATGAGAAATCGTGGAGAACTGTTTTATGCCGTCAAACAAAACTTCGCTGCGCCGCACCGACGTTGTCGTGGGGGCTTGGCGGGAAACGACACGAGCGCCGACATCTTTGCCATGTTGGCGGGAAACGTAGTGGTAGTGGCAACCAGTCGTTACGCTGAAATGCGTATACGGCTGAAGATTTTGTGGGCGCTACTAAGGGTATATCCAAACAAACTTGCATAGCGCATGATCATATGCATAGGAATATGGATTGATCGATAAGATGTATAAGAAAATAGAACCAATCCATTTCCTTAAGCGTATGCTTATGCACTATGCATTTATTTGGATATACCCTAAGGGTCTATCCAGACAAATTTGCATAAGGAAATGGACCAATCCAATTTCTTATGCATATGTATTTGCATCTGTGCAAATTTGTCAGGCCCACACTTGCATTTTTGTACATGCGTAGCATTTATCCCGCTGTCGGAATATCGAAATATTAAAGTTAGGTCGCACAAGTTAGGTACGCACAATAAAGAAGATATTAGGAATAAGAATATTAAATATCAGAAGTAAGAAATTGATATTGTTTCATTTCAAAACAAGAAAATGAAATAAATTAACGTATCGTGAATTAGGAAATAACAATTAGAAATAATTAATCCATTCCGTTCCCTTGTTTGAAGTAAAATAATTTCAAAAAAAAAAAATTGCTTTTCCTGATATTTAATATTTTCTTTATCGTGCGCAGGGCCTTACAATTTGCGGAATTTGTATTACTTAACAAGAAGCACATCTGTTTATTTGAATAAATCAATTGCTTTATTATTACATGCAAAAAGGGTAAGTTGAGTCATTTCAGATAGTAAATGTGAATTGACGTTGCATTAAGGAATGTCCAAATTTTTCCGGTACTTTTATAGGTTAATAAGTATTAATATTACATATTTTTATTTTTTTCTTTATTAAAATATAATACGCTGTGAAACTAAAATATAATGTTATCAAGCTGGTTTTTATTCGATTTAGAAAATGTTTGATACATTTCAGTTCCACTCGCTCCTAATAGTATCTTTTTGCAATAAACTGTTCTAAGGAGAGACAACAATAACTAAATATTGGCGATTTTTATCTCGCTGGAAGTTTTAGCTGCCATTACTCGACCTCTTCTGAATTCACTGCTTTTTCTTTAAGAAAAATTTAATTTTTTTATCTTTATTACTCTATTACATTTACTACATTGTTATATATCTTGGAATATTATAGATAGAGAGAATTATTATAAAATTTTTACAAATTTTTATCTCTATAAAAAGTACTAAAAGTATTGCATCTAAAAAAGAAATTGATATTTTTTTATAAAAGCTTTAACATGACTAATTGGGTTGTATATTTAAATATAAGTAAGATGTTGATGTTTAACTTAAAAAAGATTTACTAAGATATCCCATTATTGGTTGCAAGTTCTTGATATTTAACATTAAAACAATTGTCATAATTAATTTGTGTAAAAAAATAATTTTTTTTTATCAAGAGATTCTTCTATATGAAAGATTTAAGTTATTTCAACTTTGAGAGTTGCTACAAAGTTCACTGGACCCCGCTTCATGCGTATGGCAAAAATGTATTATTTATTGTTAAATCAGATTAAATTTGGTTCGAACAAAGTAATTTTTCACGATTCGCTTGTGACGGCGCTAATGAGCGGAAGCGAGACAATAAGATGCACTGATACAAAAACCCTAAATACTTCTTGCATCACGCAGGAATTACGTTTCGACGCATAGCACGCAATAAACTTGTCGCATGATCCACATAATCAAGCGGGCGTAATCGCAAAATAAATAATCTAAACGTATGACTCAACAAATAAATGTGTCTCGAGAATAACAAGTCATACAACAAGCATTACTTCGAATCGGATGTGTCTTGTTTAACTTTTGTTCAAAACTGATCCATAATGATGTAATGAGTAATGAGTAATAAGCAATTTGACGCAATGATAAATGATTCTTTATTAGAATTATAACAGTTTTTTTTGTAATTAATAATAGCTTAATAAAAATAAATTATATTAGTCGATGATTTTTGATCAAGTGCTACTCTATTTTTAGATAGTTTTTATTTGCAGAAGATGTCCTCATTGTATATTCAATGTTTTATAGGTGTTATGATATTAAGCTGATCTAGTATCTATAACATTGCGAAAGAAAACTGGTTCCACTTGAAGTCAACATATGCAATCAATAGGATAAATTATTCGTAATACTCTTATCACGTAATATTCTTCACCAGGGTGCCTGCATAAGCCTTGACCAGTACGCAAAAGTGATATGTAAGTGATACTAAAGGATGCACACAATTTATTTTGTTAAGTTTATTTATGACCATGTTCTTATTTACAGATGTTCTATCACCGTCAGACGTGCAGAATTATTTTTTCCTCAATTGTCAGTTTTCCGGCACGTTTTTTAAATAAACACGTTAGTGAAGAAGAATAGCAACGTGTAAACTATACTTAAGAGTAAGCGACGCAGTGAGTCATAATGTCGAGCTTCAGTTATGCCAAGCTTCGTTCGAGCCGTGTTAACATTTCTCTCCGCGTCTCTCCGCGCTTCGCATCATCCTCGGCCTGGGTACCAATAAAGAGTCGGCGACCGGTACCCCCGTTAGTATTCGCGTGTTACTCGCGATACGTGTTGCAAGTGGGGCTGCAATTTCGTCTGTCGGTTATTCGGAGCAAACAGCGTAAAGACAAGCTCCAAAACCAGCTTCCGAACGGAGTAACCAGTCTGTATGACATTCGACGCAAAGTACATACTCGCAATCAGACAGTACGACGCAATATTGCAAAACTGAACTTGACCTATATCTAGGAGACATTGAAGCGGCTTAACGTGGAAGGAGTAAATCAGAAGAAAATTAAGAGAATTGCAAACTTGAAGATTTCACGGGGATTTTGTCACGCTCTGTCAGGTTAGTGTTAATTGTTACTTAAATCAAATCTTACTTTAGAAAGGCAGATTATTATTATATTTATTATTATTATAAAGAAGTAATGAATTTTCACTGATGTTTTCTCATATAATATAAACAATTTGTACTTAGAGAAAGATTTAGCTATTAGTATAGAAGCAATAATCAAATACAATAGAAATTAAATTAAATACAATAGAAAAGAGAAGTACTTATATACAATTAATTAATACTATTTAATATATTTTTGTAAAAACTAAGAATTTTGCAACGTTCTAAAATAACTTTATTCTAATCATTTCTATAAAAATAGTAACGCTTGTTATAAAATACATTTGATATAAAAGTAGAACTAATAATAAAATAAGAATATATATATAGAATAAAAAAATAATGAAAGACATTAAATTCTTTCTAAAATAATTGATGCAATTCATCGTTTGCTGTTCATTAATATTACTCATAATTTGTAATTAAAAATACATTCTTCTTTTGTGAGCGAATCAGAGATTTTGTATAATTACTGAGGTAATTTTATGATTATTACAGTGAATTTCATAATTATTAATAATTACGTTGACATCGTTACTGAAAAGGTGTTTTGTGCGAAAATTGGTAGTGGGATAGCATTGCTTAATATGATATATTACTTAGTGTGTTGTAAATTAGAGAACATACGAAAAGTGCAATACATGATAAGTTACTCGTCACGATTTTACTTTCACAAATGACCTTCAGAATGAAATCAATTCCTGTTTAGAAGCTGCATTTTTGATAACTGAAGTACACATTATTTTATGAATTAGAAAATATAGATAAAGTTTGGTAATTGAAAATTAAAAAGAGATAAGTTTTTAATTGAAAATTTAGGTAAATTATATTTGAAAGGATATTTTCTCTTTGTTACATTTTATATTAATTACGTTATTAAAAGTAAGTAGTAGTCCGTTCAAAATATAAGAGGGTATAGTAGAACATTTAAAGATTCTTAAATTCAAACCGAATTTCATGAAGATCAGTTGAATATTACAGAAATAAATTTTTATCAATCCTTTTCAATTTATTTAATTTTTGAAGAAGCGATAATCAACATTAGCAGGATAATTACAGCGTTATATTGATCGAGAAATTATTTAAAGAGCATTAAATATTTTGTATGCCATTAGATCTTTTTGCGAGACAAGAGATTGTACATGTAAGATTACACATGTGGACATTGACACAAACTCCAGATAAGCGCGAAAAAACGAGTACGATCGATTGAACATAATTGTGAAAATAACTTATGCAGTTGTTTGACTTCGAAGCGGGAATTCCAGCTATCAAAGGCGTCACTATTCGATATAACTGTTATGCGTCAGCATAACACTCGGTAAAATGCATTGCTCGGAATACGGGAAAATAAATTTCGTTTCTTTACTTTTATTATGTGTTGGGTACATCTTAATAGAAAAGTATCTCGTATTTTTGGTTGCAAATTTTTTTATCAAGTTAAGCAAGACTTAGCAAGTCTTTATCAAGCCTCAGTAAAAAACTTCCTCAAGATTATCTTTCACAATTGCCAATATTTTGAAATTTGTTGATATTTCATTCAAAATTATGTGAAAAATATGACTTTTTAATTTTGTATGCAAATTTATTTTGAATTGTTTGTAATTAAAAATTATTGATGCTGCAATATCTTTTTAAGGTAAAATTGCATCTAAATTAATGCAAAAGTATTCGCGAATAAAAAAAGTGTAATAATTTTGAGCCATAATATCGAATATTACTTTCAACAACGTAATTAAATATGAAATATGAAGGAAAAAAAATTTTTAAATACATCTTAATTCTAAATAAAGAATTTGTCTGTTTAAGTTTTTTGAGTAATAATTTTAAACATTAAAAATTTAATTACTCCTACGTTTCTTAAATTACAACTTGTCAATTGTACAGGGTGCTTTAAGATCAATGATTCAAATTTTGAATACATTCGCGAATAAAGAAAAGTGCAACTCAAAGTAAATAGAAAGTGTTAGTATACACATGAATCTGGCGAAGGTGATTTATTTCCTGTCGAGAAATCTTAAAAAAAAGTGGCTTAAAAGGATACTGAAGTATCGTATGTGGTTGAACCCGAATATATTACAATACGTGTCGCCGCTCCCCTGGGAATTTCCAAATGTATTATACATGTCCTACGCTCGCGTCTTTCAGACGATATACACAAAGGCGCTGGGTTATTCCAGCCTTCATCTGCAAGCATGTTTCATCCTTAGTAAACACAATGATAGTGGATTCATTATCATTTTTAAAGAATGTTTGAACAAATGTTTTGCAGAATTTAAATACTTCATGAAGCTACACATCACATTGTGTGACAATAGAATATTTCCACAAAAGAGAAAGAGAGAGAGGGTACTCTACTTTTCTGCAAAAAGATAAATTAAAATTTATTTTGTGTAAAATATAATATTTATCTTTCTAAAATTACGAATTAGTTTTGAAAAATACATGTGTTTCTTTGGATTTTTTACTATCATTTTATTTATATATAATTATTATAATTTTTTACTATTGTTTTCTTTACTTACAATTATTCAGTTTGCACCAAATATACTTGTAAATTGTGTGGTTTTTTTTGTGTAAATTTCTATTTTTTTTATTGATGGAGATTAATCTAAGAAGTTAAATTAATAACATTTAATGTATAACATCTGTGAACGAATTATATAGAGAGTTATTTGGCATTTTTATGGATTATTATGCACTTTTACAGTTGAATATACGCAATACAACTGATGTTCTAAGATGCTTTTTTAATAATCAAAAATAACTGATGGAGTAGAGATTTACGTTGAACATAAATGATCGTTAGACTATTAGCGTAATGGAGGTACTGAATAAAATTAGACATTAATTTTCTTATGGCTGCGCAGTCAAGACTATATTTTATAAAAAAAGAAATATAGGATGTCTTTGATTTACCACAAGTTCTTTTTACTGTGAATTTTATGACAAATTCGTTATTTCATGTTCTTTAACAAGGACGACTTTTTTTCTCCTGCCTCAGTAAATATGAAAGGCATATTTAGGCGAGATTAGTCACTAACTAAAATATAAATAGATAATAAATTAAATTAAAAATATAAGTAATATATACAATTATTTAATGGAGATTTACTTATCAATCCGATTGCGTCACATTGAATGCGACCTTTCATGTATATTATATTTCCTGATTACAGATATTTCTATCAAACCATATTTCCTGACTGTTTTTCTCATCAGTCCTATCTCTCTTTGTAATTAATGAGATACATCTGGCATGTGTGATTACATTTGTCCAAATCAATGACATTGTGAATGTCGCTTGGAAACGCAAGATATATATTTTGCATAACATTTGCAAAACAATAGTCTCATATTTCAGTTATTTATTTTGAGCTACTTTTATGATCAATAACTCACATATATCGTTACTTTCAATGATGTATTAATATTGATGGAGAATGCGAGTGCAAAATGTCAATGTTATCTCGCCTACGAATAAAATGATATACTTATTTCTTGGAACGGCATTCGCTGTTCGTCTATATATATATACACAAGTAATTATATGATGCATGCTATTAGATATCATTACGTTTACGAGATTCCACGGTTAATTGCATTGAACGCAGAATTTATATTTATAATCACAAAGCATGATTTCTCGCCAACAATTCTCTTTGATTCCGTAATTATTATATTTATTTAAAAAAATTATTCACCAAATGCATGTGAATAGTTGTAATAAATTGCTGCAATTTTATTTTACTTGCTACAGTCAAAAGAGATGGAAAGGAACAAAAAGTAATATATTTTCTATTCTATATCTTTTTGCAGAGATACTTCATTAAGGCATGACGCAAGCATGGTTGCTAGTCGGTTTTTTGACATTGAGTGGCGGTCAGATTATTTATCCGGATCAATATGAAATGATGAAAATATCAACAGTTTCGCCTTATGCTTATACTAATGGAGTACGTGCCTCAGGAATACCCGCTGAACGTCCCGCGTTGCAAGCAGGTAGCAATAGTCAGCCTGTTCAAGTTGATCAACAATTCAATCAGCAATCTGCTTCGAAAATCAGCGATGTGGGACCACCGGCAGTGCGTCCATTATATCCTTCGACCACCCCGGTATCTTTTCAACCATCAATACCGACTACTACTCCGGAACCTGTGTTGGCAGATTGGAATAATCACGTAAGTTGCTAGCGGTATATTATTTGTATGCGTGTAATCATACAATCTTGTTTCGAGAAAACATCATTTTTTATACGATATATAGCTATAATATTTTAAAAGATATTCTTCATAAATGATGCAAAAATAATATAAAAATATAAACAACCTTCATCAATATTCTAAGGAAAAAAATTAATTTCTTTATAGCCTTTTCGAATACTTATTGTGTGCCTTGTAAAATATTAATAAAAGCAACATCTGTTTGTTCAATTCCGATACATTCGCGACGAGATACAAAAGTTGTCATTGATTTCAGGTGAACAATATAATATCCAGAGGAATAATGAAATTCTCTTTGGATTTGGACAAAGCGATTTATAATACCAGAGGCACATCGGTGGCTAGTCATCGCGAGAACGTGATCTTTTCGCCTCTCAGCATAAGCGTTGCCTTATTGTTAGTTCTTCTAGGTTCTGCAGGGAGAACTTTCGATGAAGTTTCACGAGTGCTCGGCTTAGAGGCCGGTGTTGACATATCTCAAAACTCGGAAGTCGTTCACCAGATGTTCGGCTTACTGCTGTCCACTGTGAATTATAGAGTCGAAGGTAGCAATGGACCACGTGTGAATTCCGCCAGTGGTATCTTTGTTCAGGTAAATGTATATCCAACATTTTGGTTATTTACGTTATATCAAGTAATCTGCAACATAAAGCACAATAAGATATCAAAGTTAAATTAATTATTTAAATGTTTTTCAAGTTAGAAATTATTAAATGTGGAAAACAACACTGTTCACTGTTTTTTTTTTCATAGGATTTAATTAAATTTAATAAATTATTTAAGCGTGCAAAGAAATAATTTTTTTTTGTTTTCAAATACTTACCAAGTTTAATAAATTTAATGGATTTTTAATATTAGAACGGATATCCGATTCGTCCCGAATTCAACGCGATTAGCGGCAGAGTGTACAACAGTGAAGTGATAAATCTAGATTTTCAAAGAAACGGCAGAGAAGCACGTGAAACAATCAATAATTGGGTAAAACAACGAACGATGGGAAAGATATCCAGTATATTGAACGATACACCAAATCCAATGACCAGCGTAATTCTCTTATCAGCGCTCTACTTCAACGGAGAGTGGCATCAGCATTTCTTAGAGGGTCAAACAAGAAGGTACGTGAGATTTTTAAATTTATTTTTACCAGTCGCAGAAAAGTACAAAATTGTCTATTCGATCATTATTGTAATGTTTCCTGTTGTAGAAAACAATTTTTCATCGAACCGAATGATGTAATCAATGTGGATATGATGTATAATGGTGGTAATTTCCCCTTTTATGAGGACAAGACTGTGGGCGTTAAAATACTGGCTTTACCCTACAAAGGTTTAGAGGTAAGCATATGTGAAATTATACCGCTGCTTTGATTCAATATTAAAATATTTTTAAATGGCAGATTCAATATCTCAATGTGGTTTTAAAAGTAAAAATTTAAAACAATATATATAACATTTAAAAATATTTAACATTGATAACATCTCTATATCATTACTCGTGTGATGTATTAATCAATTAAGATATTTTGTCTTGTTACATAAAGAATTTTCTTCCTTTGGAAATAATTCATATATGTTCTTTTTCTTTTATTTTCAGATGTCTATGTATGTGCTTCTGCCGAAACTAGAAGGAGCTACTGCCTTGAAGAACTTTCGAGAGCAATTAACGGCCGAAACTATCGAGTATTTAATAAGTAATCTCAAGAATCAGACTTGTATCATTGGCCTGCCACGCATGAAACTCTCGAGTACCTTGAGCTTAAACGGAGCGCTTCAAAACTTAGGTCTGCACTCATTGTTTGATCCGAAATCCGCGGATTTGAGTCTCTTATCAGGTGGATACGGTCAGGCAATTCCGGCAAGTTCGGCAGCTGCGACGCAACAGTCAGTACCGGTGTCACCCTCGCCGATTCCGCAAATATTACCACAACCATTACCGCAAGCATTATCTCAAGTTTCCTCTGAGAGATCGTCAAGTAGCAGATCCAATGACTACCTGATCTTCTCGCGAAGTGGTGGAGATAACAATAACCAGAATGTGGCCAACGGCGTGAGAAGAAACTACTTCAGGTACGATGATAAGCGAAGCGGCGTTAGCGTAGAGCAGTGGGATACAGGTTTTTACATTCGCACAATTCGTAGAACACGTCGCAACGTTGTGGATAGAAGACAGCGTGACGATGCCATATTATCGCGAGGGGCATATGTCACAGAGAACGATAATCCTGGAAAAATTAAACCGGAACTTAACGATGAGAATACGAAATACGTCAGCTTGGAGGAGAATAAGTATCGTTTCCGACATGTCGAAAAGGAGACCAAGACGAAAAACAGAACAAAACGACAGAGCCGACCCATGGATGAGAGTTTTCTGAGATTTCTTCAAAGTAAGAATTTCTCGTCTTATGGCCTGGATAATCTCCGAAACAGTGCGAATCTCGTGAATCCGGGTTTGTTCGCCGATGAAGTGCTGCACAAGGTGGAGATGGATGTGACGGAGAAAGGAACAGAGGCCGCAGCGGCGACTGGAGTAATTCTGGAGCGAGATGGCAATCAAAAGAGGCTGGTGGCTAATCGACCCTTCCTCTTCTTTATCAGGCATGATTCCACGAAGCTCATTCTTTTCTGGGGAACCGTCAACACACCGACTCCGAATTACGCCGTTGTTAGATGAGATGAGCTGTGAACGATTTTTCTAGATATAGAGTTTGCTTTTCTCGGATAATTCGTACGCGTATTAATATTTTTTGTATATTTATATACTTGTCTCTCGATTCAAACAAATATGATTGTCTTTTTTTTTAAATTACATTTTACATCATTATAATATGATTTCCATACAACTCAACGCGATAGCATCGAGTATAGCGTTGCAATTGTTCTATTTTATTTTTTATTTTTTTATTCTGCGTTTGTAATGCGCCCCTCGCTTTGTATGCCAATTGAGATGTATAAGCATACTCTCTTACATGACATAAGTATAGTTCAGTTTTGATATGATTTACAAATGATAAAAACTATCTTATTGTAGAGTGATATCATTATTTGACGAAATTAAATATAATTGCACTAATTTATTTACTATTATATTTAGTAATTTCTCTTACACGAATAAGCTGATACTTTATGCTTATAATATTTGAAACTTGTCCGAAATATTTGTGACATGTAACGTTCGTGATTAGTCAGCCTGTATTGTTATTTAGGCATAAGCCGTTGCAGTCGTGTCCTACAAGTAGTCGTGTATTGTTGTTCGCCGCCTCGCGTCGGTTCGAAATCGGGGCTTACCAACGGTTCCCCATAATCCAGCTCGTGCAAAGATAATCCGTTACGCAATACTATCAGGCGATTGTTGCATCGTGTTAATTATTAATGATCTTAATCATTAGGTTATTCTTGGTATAAACTTATTATTATATCGCCTGTTCGAATTGACAGTCATGTTTAACAATGTTGGGCAGAAAAATCCTACTAATCAAACGATACCTGATTTTAGCTTCATGAACATTAATAATTTTTGGCAATGGCCTCATTACGTTCACGAACCTCCATACGTTATATCACCATATGATGTGAGATCTCAGATATGGGTACGCAATGGCTCACTACCACCAAACTTACCGTTTCCATTTCCTAATAGTAAGTACATACATAGATTAATTATTGTGCGATTAATCATTTATTTTGCAATAGTTGTAATTGTTTTATGGCAATTGTGTTTTATTCGTTTCACAAGGAATAAACCTTTAATTTTGTAAAACAAGAATTGACTTTTAAAATTATTGAAATCATTTTTGAATATTTCTATTTTATTCTTCTATTTTTAATGTTTCTTTTAATTTTATAAATATTTGTAAATTTTTTCCATGTGGCCTTTTCACATTGATATTTAAAACAAATCAAACAGTATTAAAATGTTATATTTCTAATATCCATTTTTTAGATAATAGAAAGAAAGTAATCTTATTTAAAATTAATTACATTATAATTTTAAATTATATAATGTCTCAAAAGATACTATGCCTAATATATGAAAGCGTTGCAAATAAATATCGTTCTTGCTTCGTTAATACATCAGACTTTGTCATAATTCAGTAAAATGTCAAAATCTATATTTTTATTCTCTACATAACATTATATTTATTTATCAGCTATTACTTATATAATTAAAGTCAAATTAAATTTTATGGAATTTATGGAATTCCATATATATGGAATATATCACTGATATATACATGTTTGTCAAATGCATATTATATATATATATATATATATAATATGTATATATATAATATGTGGGTGAGTGTGTGTGTGTGAGAGAGCAATTTTGGCTGTATAATCACGTGGAAAAAAAATGGCGTCTATGGGTGCAATCGTGATTGGTTATTCAATTGGCCATCGGTGATTTTCATCGCTTCCATTGTAAACCTTCAATAAGCTGTTACCGGTGTTGAACATAACCTACAAATCTGTTGGTCAGATGCTGTATCACCTAAAATATCTAAGAAAGTTTAAACAGTTGTATTGACCTGATAAATCTCAGCAGTTTGTTTAAAGACACATCAATGCCGAAATACTATTGTGATTATTGTGACACTTATTTGACACATGACTCGCCGAGCGTGCGGAAAACCCATTGCCAGGGTCGTAAGCACAAAGACAATGTGAAGTATTTCTATCAGAAATGGATGGAGGAGCAAGCTCAGCACTTGATCGACGCAACGACTGCTGCTTTCAAGGCCGGTAAGATCGCCTCTAACCCCTTTGCGGCCAGTAAGGGCGCGGCGATACCGCCACCACCGAATCTTGGCTCCAGCCTTGGCTCAAGATCCGGAGTGCCACCACAAGGACCTCCAGGAATGATGCCACCACCTGGTATGCATCCAGCAGGTCCCATGGGACCAGGTGGTCCAATGATGATGGGACCTCATGGACCAATGCCACCTCCTATGATGGGTATGAGGCCGCCGATGATGGGGCCTATGGGTCCAATGGGTCCTATGATGGGTCCTATAGGTCCTATGGGTCATATGAGACCACCGATGAATGGACCACCACCTCCAATGGTAGGTCCACCACCAATGAAGAAATGATCAAATTAAGGACTCTTATTTTTGATGTATTTTGTGAGATGCTATTGAACTCGGAATACTGTGGTGTTATGTAAGAAAAGATGCATATATAGTATTGTATATTTGAGAATTTTATACAAACTATATATGGAAACCATACTCTATAGTTGAAAACCATTCATCATTCTGATATATATTAAAATAATTTATGTTATTAACACATTCATGTATGTAGCACATTTATAATTTACTGTGTGTATATCAATTGTTTCTTATTTAACATATATAAAGCAAAATTTCTAGGCATGAAGATAAAACATACAAAATTTATAATATTGGAACTTTAAAAGTGTTGAATTTCAATAAATTAAAATTATCTTCTCTTTGTGCACATATAAAAATCACACAAGATTTAATAATGGATAAATAATAATAGTATCAAATTGTATTAGCATAAGTCTTGAAACAAATAAATTTTTATTTATATTTGAAGTTAGTGTCTTTATTCATTGAATTGAAATACAATTGATTTAGTTTGTAATTACTAATGATATAAATGCAATCAAATATGAGATAAATATTTTCAGGTGTTATTATATTGAAGATGTAATTAATGGAGCAAGAATTGGTATAATTTTTTAATACTTAATCGAAAAATATAAAGATTATCTTCTGAATAGCATGATTATTTTTCTGTTAAAGTTTTAAAATATTATCATCATTATTTATCATATTGATAGAAAGATACGCGATTGACGTAAAGCAAGGATAACAGGGTACAACATATGTGCAGCAATTATTTATAAAAAATTTTATTGTTTGTGACATTCTTGTTAAGAATTTTTCCATTATACATGTATGATATTTTACATTCAGTCATGAGTTTATCTGATATTATGTAATAAAAGAAGCAACTTTTGCATATAGAGTTTCATATTTTATATTTCATATTTCACAAGTGATTTAGTTATAATATCGCAACATCGCCGAACGAACACATCTTTGCAAAAATTGTTTTTTTTCCATTATACATATATGATATTTTACATTCAGTCATGAGTTTATCTGATATTATGTAATAAAAGAAGCAACTTTTGCACATAGAGTTGAAAAATATTTCATATTTTACAAGTGATTTAGTTATAATATCGCAACATCGCCGAACGAACACATCTTTACAAAAATTATGTTTTTAAGGAATTGCAACAAGAGGTAATGGCCTTCTGATATTTTTTTTCCACTCTAATTAATTTCTCTAGCGCAGCGACGTGTTGAGATGTAAGTATCTGATTGGTAACTTTTCTTCGTAAGTCGTCTGCTGCATTTATTATGTGAGATACTTTGAACTCGCGAGCCTGTTCTATTATTTCTAACGCTTTTTTATATACATTTTTTTTCTTCTGATTTTTTTTATTAAATTTTTCATTTGCAAATGGCTTTTTGAATCTTTTTTCTTCTGATTTCGTCTGCTTTTGAGGCATTGCAGATTGTGCGTTCTGTCCACTCGTCGATACAGTAGATTCAACGTTTATGTCACTTGTGAAATCTTCTGATGGAACTGTTGCTGACTCAGTATTGAATGATGTAATAATAAACGGAGGAATCTGCACAGTAGGATCATTTATCATTGTCTCATCGCGATTGTTATTTGTTGCATCGTTGATAGGTAAAATATCATTTGTAATATTGTTACTCGCATTCTGCTGAATATTAACAGCAGACAGGTTTTCAACTAAATTAATGTCTTGCGAGGTAGAAGGTGTAATAGGCGGAAACGAAAGATTCATGTTAGTACATAATGCGTGATTTTCTTGTTCACTTATCTCCCTGTCCAACTCTTGCCGTTGCTGCATGTTGAATAATTTTTTATTTGTCGCATGCTTTCTAAAGCGATACAGCATCTTATACAGATGAATTGGTGTGTGAGGTACGAATAAAATATTGTAAAGCAGAGTAAATTTAAGATATGTGACGATGTCGAGTTCCTCACTCATCTGGTATTGTTTTAATTCGAGCTCCTTCATCGCATTTTGAAGCATATATACGTACTTATTTGGCTCGGGCTCAGTGTTAGCAATCATAAGAAGTTTGACTTGCATACGCCACAATTTTGTGCGTTCGCGACAATATTCTTTTATGGATTCTTTCTTGTACTTTCCTTTTCTTTCCTTTTCTAACTCGGTTTTCTTAGACTTTATTTGAAGGAACATATTTTGTGGATCACACAAATCGTTATCATAAGATGTAAAACCCATTTTTTTAAACTGCGGCATCCTCGTACTTAATAAGTTGAACATCTTTGTTGAATTCCTGGGTAGAGTTATATCTATTCCGTAAACCTTCTCCTCATTCGGAAGATTGATCCAATGAAGCAGCAGTTCATATATCAGCTCTAAGGATTGTCCTACTGTTATCAACTGTAACATTACATTCTTACGTTGACAGGCTGTAAAGCCTATTTTCACTTCAAATGGTACATGTTTTTCATTCAATGCCTCGAGAAAACTCGGGAAAACTTTACGTTTTTCTAAGTTAGCTATAGTAGTCTTCCCATAAGATGATAATGCGAGCATAGAAAGATTTTGACAGATCATTCGCGATTTTTTGTTATTTTTATGCAGAAATTTACCACAGGAGTAGATGACGTTAATAAAGATTTTTTCATTTATTATGTATGTTAGCTCCTTTGTCTTTTGATTTTCGGATATCTTATCTGTCTTGACAATCTTTTCCGTTTGTGGAATGTTCATGGCTTCTTGCGAAATTGGCACTTTGTTAGCTTCCTCACTCAGTGGTGACAAATTTACATTAGCAGACAGTCCTGAGTGTTCTTCCATTGCTTCTTGCATGTTCACATTTCGCGGAATCGACGTTTCGCTGCTTGCCGCCTCGGATGGTGAGATATTCATGGTATGGTGATAGCATTCCGATGAAATTGCCGCATTTGGGTTGTATGTGGGCCCATCTGTGTAATTCGTGACAGTCGCCGGAGTAACAAAATGATGGGGCGTCATTTGCTCTTCCTTGCATGTGGACGACTCGTGGCCACGCTTGTTGCAGTTGCAGCAATACAGCAGATTCGGTGGTTTCATTGTGTTGCCTACATCTTGCGGCATGTTGCTCATGTCGGTCGTTTGATGATACCGTCGCCAAAGATCGGGACATTGGTTCGCTTCGTGTCCTACCGAATCACACATAGTACAGTACAGGACATAACAAGACTTACAAGTCATAGTATACATATTCTGTTTCTTACCGCATGTCAAACACATCCTCCAAGAGCAGCGAAACTTGGTATGGCCCTTTTCGCTGCACATACGGCAACATATTCTACGTTTCACCGTACAGTCATAACTATGGTGGCCATCCTGATGACAATTGTGACATTTATCTTTCCAGAACCTATTGCGTTGTCTGTTACAAGGGCGTGGCATCAGATCCTCATCTGAAATTTTCCACATTTTGGGATCTTTCGACATATTACGCTGTAGTTCACTGATGTCAAAGTTTTCTTGGCCACGAGTCGAGTTGCAGTAATAGTCTTTCATCTCTTGCGACATTGGTGTGAAATATTTGTCCCCTTCTCTCCTTTCTTTATCATTATTGTCTTGTAGCGTGATATTTTGACTACTTTGCTGAATGATGCATTGTCGCTTATGTTTAACGTTGCTAATGATCGGGCTATTGCATTTTCTTTTCTCTTTTGTTGCTTTATTTTTGTCACTACATGGTATATTCACTAACATGTTGTCTGAAAAGTCTTGATCTTTGTGCCCAAGATCATATACATTACATCCTGTGTTATTTATGTTTAAATTTTGCTGTGTCTTTTTTGTCTGCAATTTTCTTTTTGATGAAATCATATGTGTATCTTGTTGGAGATTATCGTTATTTTCGCTATATTTTTTTGTCTTTTGTGGTGTTTTTTTTTTATATTTTATATTTTCCATCAATGTATTTCTTTGATCTTGATTAATCTCCGTATCTTTGGATAACTGTCTAATTTCACTTATACTGTTGGTAACTTTCTTAATAGGTGAACAATTCAGAACAATATCTTCACTAACTTCTTGCGTGTGTGTTGTGGTTTGTGTGATTTTATCAACATTCACTGTATTCTTATTACGTTGAGATTTACTGGTATTTTTATTTTTCGAGGATATAACTTGATAGCTTGATGTCTCTTGAACTTCTAATTCGTTGTTAATACCTGCTAATGGAACGCTTGTATTTGTAATTTTTAATGCCTTTTGATGCAAATTATCTTTATCCACTGATTTCTCTTCATCTGAATCTTGTAGATCTATAAGTAGTGGCTTTGGTTTCGGTGGTATTGGTACTTCAAAGATAGATACTTCAGAGTCTGAACCATCTGAGATTTGTTGATCTTTATCATCTTGTTTGGCTGAGAGCATTTCTTGTTTCTCAGATTTCTGACGAATACTATATTTTGAATATATTACTTCACTAACTGAATCATTTAATGATACAGTATTATCCTCTTGCAAGCTCTTTTGATGCTTCTTTTTCGTATAGTTTGAAGACTTATGTTTCTTGACAGAATTTTCCTTTTCTTTTACTGCTGAATAACTTTTATTATTCATGCTGTTACATTCATCATCCATAGAATTTGCTTCTTGACCAGAATTTGCTTCTTTATCATTGCAAGTCTGAACTTGAATTGGCACATGAGGATCTAATGGATTTTGTACTTGCAATGTATCATTATATGTCAATTGTTCTGCAATAACAAGATCTTTTAGTAACAAATTGTTTTCAATACAAATTGTGTTCTGTTATTTCTTAGGTTTATTAACTTACTTCTAGCACCTTTAGATTCCAAATACTGCTTATCTTCAGGTTTGTGCACACTCTCTGGTACAATATTCAACTCGTTGCAGATATTATCAAATTGAACCATTTTTGGGATGTTAGTAGTTTTTAATTCCTCTTGATTATTTGATTCGTAATAAATTTCTGCGTATAATCGAGTTTGTAAGTCACCGTCATCAAAACTATTCGTTCTATAATCTATGAACATATAATCTTCATTAATAATTGCATACAGTTAATGTAAATATAAAACATATTAAAAATATATATTGAAAATTATAATTAAATATAATATCAAATAATTATTAAATGGCATCACATAAAATTATCGTTATTTAATCAATTGATCATGATTAGTAAAGTTAATATAAAGTATATTTTGCGATATTTATCGATTTGAAAGCGGCATTCGATAACGTAGACAGAGAGAAATTATGGAAGATCATGAAAGAAAAAGGGTTGAATAGAAATGTGATAAAGAGAATAAAAGGACTGTATGAAGACACTGAAGCGATGATAAGGACAAGGAAGAATATACAGAAAGATTTAGGATAAAGAAAGGCGTGAGACAAGATTGTGTGATGTCCATTCCTATTTTATTTATATATAGCAGATATAGATACAGAGCTAGCAAAAAGAGCAATATGAGGTATCACAGACGGGAAAGAAAGAGTATGATCATTGCAGACGATGTGGTATTAGTAGCTAAAAATGGAGATGAGTTATTAAATATGATGAGTACTTTAAAGAGGTTTCTAAAGGAAAGGAAATTAGGGTGTACTTCCGAAAAGCTATCACCTCTGATTTGACTGATATTCAGCCTAAATACTTATTTTATCTAGTAAATAATATTTCCAAATGGATTTTTGGCGCAAATGTCCCCTCCGCTCCCCAGCTCCCCTCAAAGATAAAACTGTTTTTGTTAATTATTTCAGGAAGTATTTATTGTACGGAAAAAGTTGTCAAACAAAAAATGAAGCTCATAAAAAGCTCTACAAATAAGGTCTTATACATATTTTACCTAACTCCAATATTTTAGTCGTTATTATCAAAAAACTTGTAAAGCCCCCGTAGGAGGGACGGCATCCACTGCATCCACGCATGAACTTTCCACGCGAAGCGAGGTTCCACATGAGTTTACGACTTTGTACGCAAAGCGAGATTCAATCCAGATCCCATGTGTATAGTTTTTTAACGATGGAGTCCCCCGCAGGAGGCGGAACACACTGCCTCCACGCATGCACTTCCACGTGAAGCGAGGTTCCACATGGATTTACGAATTTCTATGCAAAGCGAAATTCAATCCAGACCCCATGTATATAGTTTTTTGATGGTGGAGCCCCTCGCAGGGGGCGGAACACACTGCCTCCACGCATGCACTTTCCACGTGAAGCGAGGTTCCACATGGATTTATGAATTTCTACGCAAAGCGAGATTCAATCCAGACCCCATGTGTATAGTTTTTTGATGGTGGAGCCCCCCGCAGGGAGGCGGAATACACTGCCTCCACGCATACACTTTCCACGCGAAGCGAGGTTCCACATGGGTTTACGGATTTCTACGTTTTTTGATAATAACGACTAAAATATTGCAGTTAGGTAAAATATGTATAGGACCTTATTTGTAGAGCTTTTTATGAGCTTCATTTTTTGTTTGACAACTTTTTCCGTACAATAAATACTTTCTGAAATAATTAACAAAAACAGTTTTACTTGTGAGGGGGGGGGGGGGAGAAAGCATTTGCGCCAAAAATCCATTTGGAAATATTATTTACTAGATAAAATAAGTATTTAGGCTGAAAATCAGCCAAATCGGAGGTGATAGCTTTTCGGAAGTTTATCCGGAAATTAGAAGTATGCATAGAGAAAACAAAGGTCATTTTTAATAGGAAAGGAAAAGCAAGTAAAGAATGTTGGAAATGGGAAAATAAAATAATTGAGGAGGCGAATGCTTTCAAATATTTAGGTTTTACGTTTAACAGAAAAGGGATTTATAGTGACCATGTAAAGAAATTATGTAGAAAAGAAAGAATTGCAATGAATAAGGTCTGGGGACTAGGAGAAAGAATATGTAAGGATGGTTTTAGATGAAGGTGGATTTTATACAGGTATTTAGTGCAAAGTAATGTAATGGAATACGAAGTGGAAATATAGGATTGGGAAGAAAAAAAGGAATTAGAGAAAATTATGTTGGACTATGTGAGATGGATATTTAGGATTGACTTCCACACATCGAGGTATTTGATTTTAAGAGAACTAGGATTGGAGAAACTAAAGATTACATAGGGAATAAGAGCAATCAATTATGAGGAAAAGATAAGAGAAAAAGGTGAAGAGAGTCTATTAAAGATGTGCTGGAGGGAGAAAGAAAAAGCGAAAAATATGTATACAGTAAAGGGAGAAATATTATAATAGGAACGGATGGGGGAACGGATAGAGGCAATAGAAGATTTTAGGAATAGAGAAATAAACATAAAAAAGAGACTGATAGAAAGAGAAAAAGATACTCAGAGGCAAATGGAGGATGGTAGGATAAGAGAAGCAAGGTACAATAAGAAATATAAAGATAACAGGACTTAAATAGCCCAAGATATCTAACAAAAGAGAACTTAGAAAATATATTAATAGAAGATGAGGTAAGAGCATTGATAAAAATAAGATGTGGAAGAAATATGGAAGAAGCAAATAAATATTGGTTAGGAGAAGAATGCAAACTTTGTATATTCTGAGGAAGGACAGGATAATATAGAACATTATATAAAGGAATGCAGAAAAATGAGAGTTCGGTTTGATACGTTGGGGGAAAATGAGGACAAAAAGTTAAAAAGAGTTTGGAGTGATGAGTTGGATAAAGAAAAAAGAAAAGTAATAAGTAGAGAAAGTAATAAAGAGATTATGGAGGGAAAAGGAGAAACGTAGAAAGGTAAAGAAGATAACAATGCAAGGAGAATAAGCAGAATAAAGCGAATAGACTAAGGAATAGGGAATGAGACGAATAGATTAACTATAGGAGGAAAAAAAAACCAGGAATGCGAAAGAGAGAACAGTATTAATTATAAAAAGTAAAGAAATACAAGTGAAAATGTAAAATGTGACGATAAGATAGTAAAATAAGAATAGAATAATATATAGAATTAGATATAAGGTATGGATGAATGTGTGGATAGGTTTTAAATGTAAATCAAGTCTCTTCTTGGCAATTATAACATAGCTGAAATAATAAAGATTATATATGTATATATAATATATATGTACAGAATATAATCCATTAAATAAAGTTTATATATATATATAAAGTATATTTCCAATTATCGTTATCAATAATTTTAAAGATATTCCACTCTTTACTTTTCTTTGATAAATAAGCTGTTTTTATCATTGTTAATTTTTTAGAGATAAACAGCATTTACAAAAAAAGTGCAAATTTTTATATAAATTTTAATTAGAACATAATGCTAAAATGGAAATATCAATTCGGTCTTTAGAGATGTTTTTGTTAACAAGAGCTCAATAATTACTCGAAAAAGTTGTAAGTTCTTTTAATGCTTCTTTTAGCGAAAGAGTTCAGTAATTATTCGAAAAGAAATAAAACATGCTCCAATCGAGAATCAGTAATAGCAAGATTTAAACAATTTATGCAATCTAAAAAAGTAAAATAAAAAAAAACTGGAATATATTTAATATTTGATTTAAAAAAATACTAACGCTAATTGTACATATTTTAATTGAATAAACTTTATGTTGTTGAAAATACAGTGTAATACGACAATTTGATACGACAATATGATATAACCTAATATTGGTTACATTACCTTTGAACGAATTATTCTTTTCTTCAAACGTGTTTTCTGACATAATGCTTGTAAATATTTCTTAAATAAATATTTGGAATAATTTTGAAAAAACTTCGTATATTAATTAAAATATAAATTTTTTCAAAAAATCTATGTTCACGAACGACGAACACGTGCACAGTGTGCGATATCTAAAGGTGTCTAAAGGTTTACTCAGTTTACTGCTCGTAACAGTAAGTAAGATGTATTATGGCTCCGAAGGGTCTCCCCTCTTGCGGCCAACAGCTCGTAACAGTATGGTTGTGTTTGTTTGGACCATAGACATAGGAATAAGGAGACAGAGCATAAAATCTTACTTTAGGCGAGGGGAGTGAAGCCAGTTCCGCGGTGCGGGGAATAGCAGTCACGTGATATTTTGGTGCCACATTGGCATTAGTTGTAGCATAAATGCGGCA